TCATGTATGTCGTCGTGCCGTGATCACTGTTGCGCGCAATTTTTGTTATATTTCCTGACAACATATTTGTGAAATAACAAACTATGTGCATACAATCAAAACTAAATGCCAATTACCCATTTAAACGAATGCTTCGGAAAATTATGTTTTTGCGTGCAATTTAATGGCGTGGCAAATATGCATTGTCTTCATTTTCATGAGTTCCTTCAATTGTTTCATTATTCTGGCGTAACGAACACAATGCTTCTGAATGGAACCTTCTTCGTCTTGTGATGCGATGCCGGTCGTGCCATTGTCATAGAGGTAGAGGGGGGGAGGCCTGCAAGGTTGACCAGAGGTAGCTCTAGACAGCCCGTCTAGAGGGCATTCAGCATCATCTTGCACTCTGACCAGATCAGATTCAGAATCTTTATTAATTTCCTGGTGGGTTTCCGATGAACTATGAAGCTCTTTGTCACAGGTGTCCAGTAGGGACACGTGGTAAGAACGTCACAGCAACAAACAGTAAACAAACACGATAGGAGTGCAAAGCATAGGAAAAGTAAACACATAACTTAAGAACATGCAAATAAAACTAAACATTTGTTTTGTCTTACCATGTAAAGCACACAGAGCTATTAGCTTCTTTTTCAGAAGCGACCTGGTCACAAATGAGAGCTCAACGAGGTGACCCAGATGCCTTGGAAGAGGTGTGAAGGATAATTTATAGCTCATCGGATTCCTCTAACATAAATAAATATTATGATTCGGAGGTGGGAGCAACCCACGCTTTACCCCATCGCACGTGAACTGCCGATCGACTTCAACGTAAGCACACCCATTTGTGCTGACGGGGTGGACAGACGCGCGGGGATTTAAAAAAGTTTCGTGGAATAAACTCAACGAAAAAATATTATTTAGATTTGAATATCGATTTAAAGCTTTCGTGACTGCAGGGATTCATCTTCTTGGTTCTTTCGGTAAAGTCACGTAGAATGGAAATAATAAAATAATAAAAATAAAGCATAATAAAATAATTATTGTTTTATTATAAAACATCATAAAGTAATTATTATTTTATTATTTATTTATATTATTTTATTATTTCCATTCTACGTGACTTTACCGAAAGAACCAAGAAGATAGATTTGAATAATTACCATTCGGTGATTCGGAGCAGCAAGTGATATTCGGTGACGATCAGCCATGCACAAGTTAAACTCCCCCCGTCACAAATTCCAGTTCCCAGGGGTCACACATTGTTCCAGAATGACGACGCCGCCGCCACCGCCGCCACGCGCGGCATCTGCGCGCGACGCTCCGCGTTGTCACAGAAGGACACCCGTGTCGCGTCTCTCCCGGGAATGCACGCAACACAACGTGACAACACGCCCGCAACGGTTACATTTTATTTTGTTCTGGCTCCATTACGTCCACGGGCCTTCTAATCACGGAGCGTGAAAATGTGAGACAGTTGTCCGCATGAAGCGGGTGGCCTTCGTCAGATTGATATTGTGCATATACCTATTTTGGGTGACAGGTAATGGAGCGTGGAAAAGAAACAAGAAATGCTCTTGACTCTATCAGGGACATCGTGGTCTGTACGTGTGGGCCGGCGGGGGTGGAGGAGGCTGTGTGTGTGTGCGAAGTGTGGCTCTGTGGTCAGCAATAGACGACAAAGGGACTCTGAAATCATCCCTGAACGGGCAATAAATAAATTATGGGTGGCGCAGAAAAACCGCTGAGAGTAAGTGCGTCATGACCACCGAACATGCGAGTCGCTTTCATAGCCAAGTAACAATCCCAATCCGGTCACCATTGTTGCAGATGTTGTTAATAATTGAAGGGGGGGGGGGGTCGGTTTTGGCAAAAAAGCGTTAGATGCACTGAACTAAAAAGAGCGCTCGCATGAATCTAAACGACTAAACAAGTCCCGTCATTCTTTCATTGTGGATTATTTTTGTATTATCATGCCGAGAGGGGAATGGCGGCGCAACGGTGGAAAGACTGCACTTGCAACCCAGAGGTTACCGGTTCGTTCTCCCAGTGAGGCCATTCAAACGATGGTTAATGTTTCTTCTGTGACCCACAACTGTATAAATGGATGCACCACAGTGAGTCGATCGGCAGGCCACGTGTGATGGGCTAAAGCGTGGATAGTCCCGCCTCTTGCTGGCTCGAGTGTCTAGCCAGCATGGAAGAGAAGACCTAAATGCCATGTGGAGGAAATCTCAAGAGCTCCCTCCTGTGGAGGTCACGTCCACCAGCGCCTAGAGACCTTGTGTGCATTGCGCATTAGAAACCCGAGTTGGTTATTGTCGTTATCATAGCAGTGGTGGGAGCACGACATTGCAAGTCTTCACCTTTATCTTTGACAACATCAGTTTCAGTTCTATTTGGTTTATAGCGCAATAATATGTACTTTAATTGGATAGAGAAACTAAAAACCAATTTCGTAAAACAATAAAAATGTAATACGAGCTCACGATGATTAGGGTTTTTGGTTAGGGTTAGTGACCTATTGCCATCAACCAATATGGAACAGCCACAGCGAACGTGGGGTATTTGCAGTATAGATTTGTTTTCTCATGTGTCAAAATGTGAAGGGATCTCTAGGCACTGCCCATTTGTGACAAGGTTAAACATCGTCAAGGTGAGGCATTACAATCAAAGAGTAGGCCTCGAGCGAGATTATATATGAACGTGATTACCTTGGGATTAATACACCCATGGTGAAGGTGGCTTTAGTTTACAACATAACACGGCGATGCAATAGCGAAAGCCGACCATTTATGTCAGTAATGTGTGTAGTGGGCTAGGGCAGCACACGTCGCTAGCAAGGATGATGGCCTATTATATCAAGAATAATGCCGGAGTGACAGCCGAGAAATCATGTCACGTGTACGCGCTAGGTGGGTTGTTCAAGTGCAGGACCTTGAGAGATGACAGCAGCTTGGGAAGGCTTTTATCCAGCAGTGGATTGACCAAGAATGCTGATGCTGCTGCTGATGATTATTAGTTTTATGAAGCTTGTTTACCCAGGAAAGCCTGCCAGAGTCTCAATACATTTTTTTTCGGGAGGGTCCTGCCATGTTTTAAAAGAATAGGGTAATTTTACTACTCTGTGTAATCTAATTTGAGTCATTTGCGCGTGATTTTTCAGCATTGGGATATTTGTCCAATACCAGTTTTTAAAAAATAAATGTGTTCAAATGCAGGATGCTGGTGACAATTCGTTATTTTAGACTCGGCATTGTGTAGGTCAACGAGCTTCCGCAGATTTCTTGCGTGTTCGCGTGACAGGTGGCGGGTCAGGGGTCACGTGACAGAAGACATTCGGTGAAGATGAATGTCTCTTCCTCGTCGCACCTGTGTGAGCCTACAGTGCTCATCCTCGTGCGGTCGTGAAAAGGAATCCCTCTGTGTTTTGCAATTCCTGCGCAGGGCTGCACGAAAACACAGTGCGCGACATTTAGATGTGCACGAGGCACATAAACACGCGGGTGCGTAGGTAGGGAGATAACAGCGGGTCTCGTGGTGACGGTGACATCTGCGTTTGAGAAGGTGACAACTGATAAAGGACGGTGCGTGGAACACAAGGGACGGTGCGTGGAACACAATGCGATATGACGCGATATTTAAATCCAAGTGATTTCCTGTTCACGTAAGCAGAGTTGGTGCTCATCTTCCTGGGTTAATACAGCCCTGAGCCAGAGGTGTAAATTCCACACTACTACGACGAGTATAGCCATAGTACAACGGTCACTTCCCCACAAAGTGGTACTCAATTTATCGACCCCATGAGGATGATGGGTTGTATCGAAACCCCCGAACAAGTATTTGCATAGCCTACTTGGAACGTACGTGTGTGTGTGTGTGTTAAACTTCTTTTGCACCAAGCCGCTTCGAGGGAGGCAAAGGCTGAGACCAGGTTCGATCGAGAGAGCAAGCGTGCCCCCTGGCACATGTGGAAGACACGTGGTTTGGGCCGAGTCGTGGAGAGCCAAAGTTGCCTTGAGATGCCTCTCGCTGGCGGATGATGTCGGGCCTGAGCAGCGGAAATGACCTGCGAGCACCAACCGATACGTCACGTTGGGGAGAAGAGTCGGTTGCAATTTTAGCCAAATAAAATGACACTATTCAACGAGAATCACAAAATAACATTGAGCACAATGGGCTGTATGATTGACACGGAACTTGCATCGCACTCTCTCGCAATCTCGCCACGTGGCGGCAACTCCAGCAGCAACACGTGCACAACTTTAATCCGCAGCAGCCCGACATTCATAGCTCTACGGAGCTTCGTAGTGATGAGCGCTGAAGTGATTAATTAATGCTAAAACATACTGGATAAGCAGACTATGCATCCCCTTTAGTTCATCCATAATAGAGGTTTGTTTGTGTTACATCGCGTAAATATATAAATGTTGTCACGTAAACAGAACGTGCCAATTCGTCACCAGTACAGCACACCGGTGTGTTGGAGACCCAAGCCACAACATTTACTATCCGAGTACGACGTTTCACCAGTAATTGCAACTAGCTTCATCAGGCGACCACAAATCTGGCTGCGTCAGGAGCAGTGGCGAGTGCATCGCTGCGATGTCTCCTACGTATTTGTGGATCGGGGCATCGCCTCGTTATATCAGTTGCACGGTCCCTGCTTTGGATAACCACAGTCGCACAGTGCTGAAGATTGTTTTAATTTTCAATTGTGTGCCTCGGGTACCCGCATCTACAGCCACGGTTTGTGTAGGGTGGACCGTGAGCTTCGTGGAAGACCAAAACCCCAAGAGACCTTCTGCGTTGGGTCTTCCACAGCCAGGTGTTTGTTTGCGAGTTCTTTTGAACTCCATGCAGCCCTCCAAGCCTCATGGGGCTTGAACTCGCATTGCTGTGCCTACGAGAGGGAGCCACTTCTGTGCGCTTCGCGGTGGCCAAGTGGCACAAAGGTGACGTGGGTCGTTCCACGGCGCGCCCTTCCCCCTGGGCCTCACCTACGCCCTCACCTGGCCAGGTGAGGCGATAACACGGAATTAGACACGCGGGCGCGGTAACCACGGAATCGTCAACACGACCGCCTCTTGAATCTTGTCCGCGTTGTCTTAGACTAAAGTAAGTCTACACCGGTGTCTACCTGTGTCGATGTTGTACCCGCGTGTGTGTACCCGTATGTGTCTCAGTGTACCCGCGTGTAACCGCCGGTACCCGTGTGTGCAGTGAAGCGATGTAGATCGGGGCTGTGTAATGTAAGAATCACAGCAGCGATCAGCCCTAATACACACACACATAGACACACACACACAGAGACACACACAGACACACACAGAGAGACACACACAGAGACACACACAAAGACACACACACACACAGAGACACACACAGACACACACAGAGACACACACAAAGACACACACACAGACACACACACAGGACACACACAGAGACACAACAACAATCGCCATTCGCCACTAAGTGGCAGTGACGTCACCACGACGCTTGTGCCAGGCCATGTGCACCTTGAACCCTAACCCTAACAGAGACACACACACAGAGACACATACGCGCGCGTGCAGGTTGTTGGTGATTAAACCCGAGGCTAACTAACACCGACACTCATTAACGCGACGCGCGAGTGACACGGGGATCGGTTAAGAACGCGGAACGACGGTACAGCCGTGACATGACACTCGATTCAGCCCCCCCCCCCCAACCCAACCCCTTAGAGACAATTCACGTTTCCGAGATGGCATCATCGCATTCCGAGGCCGCAGGAACGCGCCTTGCGCGTGGCCACGCCACCCGGAACGCGCGCCCACAATGTCAGGGGGCCAGGGCCAGGCTTTTTGAGCCCCAGAGGTAGCGAGCTCACGGGCTGCAAGCGACCAGGGGTGCCGCACGTCCACGTCGGCGTAGCAGCCCCCCGCGGAGAGGTCTGTGGGATCTGGCAGCGTGTTTTGGGATTTGGCAGCGTTTTTCGCGACAATTGCCAGCGAAAAATGCGGGCAGCAGCGCGAATGGTTCACTGCCGCCCGCACGACTCAAAGATCAGCGTAGCGAAATGTGGGAAGAGCCCTCATCCAGCAGTGGATCGACAAAAGGGGGCTTGTGACGTTTACAAAAATATATACATTTGCGCGGGCGAGTACGGACGCTGATTTCCGTGTCACGGAGCCAATCGAAGCTTGGCTCGGACACGTTGGTCGCTCGAGGAACAATGACTCATCCATCTTTCGTGGTCCGGAAGCGACTTGTTCTAGCCTCGGTGCAGCAGTCGCGGTAATTAAGTCCTTGATTAGCAAGTGACCTTCAAATGTTAATTAAAGTACTGCACTGTATATCGGCTCATTGATCCGGAGCCAGTGGTGGAACTTCCACATTCCCATGGACAGGACCGCTTTGGGAAATTTGTAATAAAATTGTGAGTCTTAATATGTGTGGTGGAGGACGCCTCCCCACGCTGTATCGAACAGTTGTTTGACCATACTTCACTGCGCTGGTCATTGTTGGGGACATTGTATTTAGATGACCGCATTCATAGCACAGGGCGCTAACCACTGAGCCATCACTCCACTCTGAACCGATTACACGCAACATGAAACATCATCAATAGCATCGGTCATCTTTTATCTACTGCTGGATGAAGGCCTGCACGCGTCATCACAATCCCTCTTGATGTTGTGATGTCTGGTCCGGCTGATGGAACCAAAGCTTTGTTTGTTATTCACATGAATCGATGAATCAGTCCCTAATCCTCTTTTTGTTTTCACACTGTTTTTGAATTATTCTTCAACGCAAGTTATTTCTGTTTTCCTCTCTACTGGCTACATGTTGCCATGTTGTCATCGCCTTCGTCATTTTGTTGACGCAGGCCAGGCGCTTGCAAATGAGACTCATCCTGATCTTTCCTCGAGTTCTCATCTGTTTGAACAACTATAAACTTTAAACTTCTTGATAACTAGTTAACCAGGAGATGAAATCAACTCATTGGGACAAATGGAACATTGCCCCTTTTGTAAGGGCTACCTGGGTGAACGAATATTGATCTATGTATTAATAAAACCCCTGGTGAGTTTCTGTATTGAAATGAACACTTATCGGGATTTGTTGAGATGTCTTGACCGGTGTGCTCTGTGTCCGCCCAGTGAACAATCCTCTGCCCTGCAACCTCAGGTCTGAGGCCAACAAGGCAGCCAAGATCCTGCATGAGTTCACACAGATCTCGGCAAGAAATGGCCCGGACAAAATCATCCCTGGTAAAGCCACCGCCCGCGGGCCTCACAGTCGGGGGGTTGCGTGTTCAAATCCTGTGTTGGGAGGTTCACTCGGCCCATCATCCCTCCAGGGTCGATACAATAAGTACCACTATGTGGGGAAGCCAACAGTGAGTGTCCTACTCGTATATCTTCCCCAGCCCCAGCCAGAGGAATGTAGAATTGCCACCACCAGCTCCGGGATAAAAGCAGGAGATGTGCTCCACCCGAATATTATCATTCGAGCAGCGAATCACTTTCGTCTACGGTATTTACATGTGGCGGTATATGTTAGTCCTGATTGTGCGAGGTCAGCATCCAACTTAATATTGAAAGCATTTAACCTTTGAGAGTAGTGACGACTCGAGTGAAGTGGCCAAAGTTAGATGCAAAAAAAAATGCTCGAATAACTTTTGTTTCAGTGATTTAAACGATAAATTACTCTGGTTTAGACAAGGTTTAGACAAGGTTTAGACAAGGTTTGCATACATTGCTGCACAGCTTTTCTCTGCTATACAGCTCTCCGATGTCTTGTCGGGTCGAATGGCGTCTAGTCCTTCATTCCTCAGGATGTCATTTACCCTCAAAATATCTCTGGGCACGTAAAAGATTGTTCGCCTTGCTGAACAACACGATTGTTGACATTGAAGTTTCGCTTGAAATCTTCGCACTTCCGATTAGCCCGATTGGCTACGTACTGTGCGAAAGAAGTTCAACGTACATACAACACGTGGCATAGCCCGAAGACACATCGGAGATCAAGAGATATCAACGACATTATTGAATGTGACGAAGCACGCGTGTGCGTTTGTGTGCTTGTGTGTCCTCTCATTCCATCTCCAGCCCACGTGATCGCCAAGGCCAATGGGCTGGCCATCCTGTCCGTGTTCAAGCTGGGCTTCCTCGTGACGGCGCGGGGAGGCAGCGGCATCGTGATCGCTCGGCTGCCCGGCGGTGGTACGTGCGTGCGCCCCTCTCCGCTACGACGCACCCGGAAATCATTCTGCTGATGCACGCCTCTTATTTTTTATTCACGCTTTTACAACTGAGGTTTGAAACCTGCACCTCCTGATGCGCGCCGGCCGGGCCAGCAAACCGTCCACGGTCCCGGCTGGGATGTGTCAGCGGAGAGGAGGTATCATCGGTCTCCGTGGGCTCTTACCCATGCGCTTGGGTTCCCTTGTGCAGCCTCGGTTTGGGACTCCATGACCATAAAAAACTGGCCATCCTTCAGGTGCTGCCGTATCTCGGTGACAACATTAAGTTCGGAAGAAGCCCGGCACTTAACCGGCTAGAGAGTCCCTCTCCGCATTGATTTTCTACTTGTCTGCTGACACATGCTCGTGCATTCACGTCTACCGCTGCGCGCTAATTGTCGTACTTCAAGTGCTGTGCAGTGGCTCCCCGGAGCCTGCAGCAGATGTTTCCCCGAGTGCCTCCACTGCCGTTACAAATGGGGAGTCACACACATTAGGCAACCTCACACAAGTTCTTCGTCTCAAGGAGGAGAAGGCATCGGCTCCTCCACAGTGGAGCGAGCGGCTCGTAACCGGAGGGTTGTGAGTTCACAACCCGGCTGGTGGTTGGCTCAGCCCAGCGGCTCGGCAACCAAAATACCAAGAAGAGACATTTATTTCGGGGTTTTTTTTTGGCGAACAAAAATTTCATGTTTCAAGAGCCGCAACGCATGTGAATATGAGACGGCTACCGACCCCTGGCTCAGCCCATCATCCCTCCGGGGGTCAATACAACAAGTACCGCTTTGTGGGGAGTCAACGGTGGTTGTCCCGTGGGTCGGCTCGTCCCCGCTCTAGGAACGCGGAATCTCCACCGCTGGCGCAAGCGCTGTAGATGGGAGGTGAGCACCGGCTCGCTGCTCGTTTGAGCAGGAGAATAATTTTGAAGGAAGCGATGAATGATGCTCCTGAGGCCGCTGGGTACAGTGGATTGTCGTAACGGGGAGAAGTGTGCTCCAAGATGGGAGGGCACAGAAGCGGGGGGGCAGCCCTCTCCATTAAACAAATATCCATCCATCTAGCCGTCTGTGCACAAGGTTAAGCGATACGTAGTAATTATATAATTATTAGTATTACTCTCGTTAAGATGTTCAAACACCAAATAGATACCTATTGCAAGGCATCAAGTCTGCATTACTCTTTGGTTCTTTCGGTAAAGTCACGTAGGTATAAAAAAAATTAAATCACGACATTTCGGGCGCAACACAAGTATCCGGGTGATGACGGACGCTTGTGTTGCGCCCAAAACGTCAAGATTTAATTTATTTTCCACTTACGTGACTTTACCGAAAGAACCAAAGAGTATGGATCATTGCAGTCACGAAAACTTCAAATCTAGAAAGAAATCTGCATTAACCACACACAGCACTTGTGGCAATAATGTACACTCTTTGAGACTAATTGTACGGCCTTGGCTCACCAGCGTTAGCCCACGGAATGCCAGAAGGCGAACGGTGCAAAGGCAATGCAAACATCAAAGTATGAAAAGCTCGGATTGAGCAGTGACATGCATATATTATCAGAGCATATTTGTGGGCATGTTTTGCCACGAATATGTGTGGTTCATGCAGACTTGATATCGATTTAGATGTTTGAACATCTTAACACCTAATTTATTGCCAGAAAGGGTAAACCCCATTCTTATTTTTGCATCACTTTGATACTGGTAACAAGGTCCCATCAATATAGTATTACGGATGCTTATGGTACAAACATTTTCTCTGTATTCCCCCGAATGGGTACGTATGTATATACCCTGACAAATACGATGTCCTATCACAAGGGATTATCCAGGTAAAATGTATTAATTTTAAAAAATCATTTTTGTCAACCTTTGCTCAGCGGGAGGTCGCTCATTCTCCTCTGCTGGCCCAACTGTCTGGAACCCCCTTTCCTCAGCCATCCGTGCTGTCGATTCCCAGTCCCTGTTCAAGTTCAGGCTCAAAGACTTCCTCTATTCCTCTGCCTGTAACTGCCTGTTGATGTCTACGAAATAAATGAGACCACTGTCTCTGTGCAGCATCTTGAGATGCAGTCGCATTGGGATGCTCTATAAATTCCAATTGTGTATTTAAAGATATATTTCAAACCTCTCTGGTTCTTTCGATAAAGTCACGTAGATAGAAAAAATATGGATTCCTGCAGTCACGAAAGCTTCAAATCAAGATCTTTCAAAGCGTTGAGAAAAGTAAGCATGGTTAGGCAAGACACATCGCCAGTGGTGATGGCGGTCCAGAAGAATGAATGTGAAACAATTACGCAATCAGTCCATGTCAGGTGCGAGGTGGCTATTATATCACAGGATCGTGAGAGATGGTGATGGCTTGGGGAGGCCTTCAATCAGCAGTGGATTGACTATGACTGATGATGATGATGATGATAATCATCAAGGGCCACGATGGAACTAATTTCCCCCGTGTTGCCCCCGCCCTTTAATCACTGCCGTGGGCACGAGGCCGAGGCATGTGTACACTCGTGCGCGCGAGTCTAAAATAAACCGAGCAATGCTAACAATGATGGAGGGTAAAGGTCTCCTGTGCGTAAAGTGCTTTCCCACCGCGGCAGGCAAAGTGCTCTCTTCCTGTGAGAAATGTTCACGCTGCACCATCTGTTATGTGCCTGCAAGGGTTGGCCCGCACGTCATTGGGTGCAACCCGGTGGCTATCCGGACCGTTGCCGTGCACGCCGGCTGCTGCTTGCCTGCAAAGCCTTTTTGTCGATGACTGCAGTGGTTCAGCAACGCAATGCGGACAACGTCGGGTTGTCTTCGACCCCCGGCACGGCGGCTGAAACGAGGGGCAGGAGGAGTGCGTCGTCGCTACGACTGGCTCCGTCGCCGCTCCTCGGCGCTCCTCCGCCCGGCAATCGCCTCTCGCTTTCCCTGCTCAAGCTTCCTTCAGCTACCTGTAGCTGTTGTTGTTGTTGTTCTTGCTCCATCAGATTAACTTTATCCCTCGATCTTTGTTTCTTCTTTGGCTCTCCTTTGCTTGTTTTCACTTCCTCTTTCTTCCTTCTCCGCTTTGTTTTGCACTCCGCTCACATTTTATCTCCACCCTCGCCGCCTCCTCCTCCAGTGTGGCCAGCGGCTCGCTGCTGCCAGTAGCCCAGTGCCACCTCACGCTTCGACCCGTAGCCTGCGGGGCCCGCGTTGGATTGTGCTGGCACATGGGCCGCCTTCTGTTGGCGCCCGGACACGGTGCCTCGGCCTCCCAGGCCTCCTTGCTTCACGCTGGTCGCTGCTGCGTTGTCTGCTAACCCTGGCGTGCCTCTGCTGTGCCGCTGGTGGGTCTCTGCTGGTAGGCCTCCCAATTCCCGCGGGCGTCGCTCTATTGCCCCTGGTGTGCCTGCCGCTGTGCCGCTTTACCGCCCCTAAACCCCTGCTGGAGGAAGTAGCTTCTGCTGGCCCTCCTGGCTGAACGTCTTTACCAACCATCATCTGTTGCCACCAGTGACCCCCCACATCTCCTGGCGCTGCGTCGCTGCTCTCGCCGCCCGTGCGGGATGATGCTCTTCCGCCGTGTGCGATGCTTTTAGTCGGCTCTCGCGTGCCGCTTACTGCCCTGGGAGTGGCTCGGTGACCTCGCCTATTGCAGGTCACCGCTGCCGACGCCCTTCTGCCAGGTTGGCTTCGTTGCCATCGCGTTGTCCAAGACTCCACGTCCCCCGTGTAGCTACGACACCGCTCGACCCACGGCCTAGGATCACATCGTGGGCCGGCCCTCACGTGCCCGCCAGCATGCCTTGTTGTGGTTTCTGGCTCTACTGGTTTACGCTGGGCCCTGCACTACTCTGCCTACCGCCCGTGTGAGCTGCCGTGGCCTCACCACAACCATCTCTCTTGATGTCCGGCCTATGTCGCACCCCTGTGCTGTGCTCCAGCCCTGCATGAATCCACCTGAGCCTGGTAGCACCTTGTCTAAACGGCAGTGTGGTATCTCGCTCGTGGTTGTGGACTGGCGGTCGTTTGCCACGGCGTACCATCGCGTCTGCACTCTCTGTGCAGCCATATTGGCCACGGGTCCCTGCTGGCCATCAGCCAGAGCCTTGATGGTGGCCTGTTGTTGCTCATCGGCATTCGCCTAAACCCCCAGGCCTCCTACTCGCAGGCAAACCTTACTTGACCTGCTCTGCTGTTCACCCCCAGCGTTCTGTCAAGCCGCCGTTGCCGCCGGAAGCTTTACTCATCAGTTACTCTGTTTGTTTTTTTTATCACCGAAACCCAAAGATGTGGTTGTAGCGGGGACCGAAAACGGAAAAACACATCCTAACCTCGCACCATAACTCCCGCTTTCCGTCCGAAACTATTTTTATCTTCTCACCATCACCTCCCATGCCCTTCCAGTATATCCCAGCATCCACAATATTAGTGGTGTAGCTCCCGCTCAAGTCAGGGGCCATCCTCAAAGAGTTGGACTCCGGTGCCAGGGTGTCGCGCCCGCCGGAGTTCTCTGCGGAGCTGGTGACCAAGAGAACTGGCACACCAGCTGTCGTTTTCATCCCTGTGGCCCAGTGCTCTTCACTCATTTTAAGAGGGGGCCGCCACACATTTGAAACCATTGGGGTTTGACAGCAGCACGATGATGATAGGCGATTGTTTTCACCGTTTGTGTATTGTCGGGGGTTTCGCGCCAGGGGCTGCACTGAAGGCCACTAGGTGCTGCCAGTGGCCCGCGGGCCTTGCAATGGAGAACGCTGCTGTAGCCAGGACCATCAGTTCCGACGCAACGCCAGTCAATGCCACATCTGACAATCTAGGTTACGGGCATGTGGATACCGGATTGATCGTCAGTCAAGCTGCGGTGTTGTGCCACACAGTAGACTAGGAGACAAAGACAAAGACCCCCCCTCCTCCCGTATAGCCTTAACAGCCTGTAGGGACAAGTGCTGTAGGCGAGTAGCACCTATGAAGGCCGACATGCCACATGAGGGCTTTGGTGGCCAACACCACGCCCAGCTGCCTTCATACTCATTTGAGGTCGAGTCGACCCAGGGGAGGCCCGGTCATGAGCGGGAATCGAACTCGGGTCGCCGGCTTCATAGCGCAGCACGCTAACCGCTACCACTACCGCTCGCCCGCATTCAGATGCATCAGATGGCTGAAGCCAGGGAACGTCGGCACCATCACGCGGCTACCTCTGGTGCTGAAGGGACCCCCGTGGCAGGCCACGCCTGACATGCTGAGAGACGGCAAACACGGCAAAAATAATGCCGGGTTCCTCACAAGCTGAGGACTCCGGCTCGTGCCGTGCCGATAAGGTCGGTGATGTTCGGACTGTGACCGCCGGTGCCAGCGTCGCATCCGATTCCGTTTGAAAGACGTTCATGCATCAACCAGTTGGGGTCCCGTTACAACAAACTTCACAGAGAAGCCGATAACGTGAGTTTAATGAACACAGCGTGAAGAGACGACATTGCTGCGTATTTGAGTTGTTTCCAGCACGAATTTGTGTTTCTTAAATGGCTATTTGCATTACATTACATTCTTACAGCCTATTAGCACCACCTGGTAGTGTAAATGGGTACAGAACAGCGTGGAAGAGGGGGGGCTCTCTCAGACTCCCTCTAGTGGAGGCCCCTCCGCCAGCAGTGGCGAGAGTAAGGACGTTGCAGGGCTTTGCCTTTACCTAATTCAGTAAGTATGTATGTTGAACTTCTTTCGCACCTTACATCGCTAACCGTGCTAATCGAAGCTGCGCAAAAAGCAGTTTTATAGAAGTGAGTTTTCAATCTAGATGGTTTAAAAGTGCATAGCTGCAGCGGCTTCCTAATATTGGTAGGAAGTGCATCCGAAAGCGCCACGCGATGTGGTGACCACCGTCTTTGCAGCCACTAATTTCTTAGTCACCTTTTGAGTGTCCGGTGGGCCATCATGTCACTGTGAGCAAATGGACCGGAGTGAGTCATTAAAACTAAAATAAGATAAGACAAACAAAAGTGCGTCATGGAAATCTATATTTACTTTCTTCCTTCTTCTAAAGAGGCACTTTAATACATAAGCCATAAGGGATGGGATGCCAAAAAGTTTGGAGAATATAATATCACAAATGTGCACAACCACAATGTTTCTTGTATTTTTCAATATGGAGTGTTCTGTGAAATAGTAGTCATCTCTGCTGACAATTTAATATTGCGCTAATGCGTTTCATGTGTAAAGATTGGGTTTAAAAATAAGCCAAACAGCCACAAGTCTGCAAATGTAGCACACCAACGCAAACCTATTTTAGCTCTCGGTTACTTTTTTCCCCCAAGACACACTGATTGCCCCTCGTGCACAAATTGTATTCAAGCTGAAGGAAGGCGCATGTCGGCACTCTTTAGTTTGCGAAGGTTTGTGTAAAACTCACAAAGCCCACGCGGACCTGAGGACCTTGTGGAATTTGCAATCCACAGGTCATAATTCGTGTGGAATACCCATACGTGTATATACAGTGTATAAAAGATAAAGGCCCCCTTTGTCTCCCGAGTGGCAATGTTTACACATTACACATGGTACTCTTTTACGGCTGAGTTCACCTAGGGGAGGCCCAGGACTGGTTCAAATATCGGGTGGCTGGCTTCGTAGTGCAGCGCCTTAACCACTACAATACCACTTCCCACTACATGGACACTGCTGGATGGACAGAGGCAGGGGAATTTAAGAAGCTCTCCCATTGTTTCAACTGCCACACGGCGTAGTTGTCCACAGGGGGCGAGTGGGCGGTGCACAATAATTAGCCCAGCGCGCCACGAATCCGGCGGCCTGAGTTCGATTCCCGGCCATGGCTAAAATCGGTGGTGACGAGTGATGTCCAGGGCGCGCACGATCGCGGGCCGTGTCCGCGTTTACCGCACGACACCAGCGACGGCGACTACAAGCGCCGCGAACGTCGCCACACGCGCGCACCAGGAATCGTGACGGGTGGCTCGGAGGGGAGTGCGGGGGGGGGGCCGTGACACCCCCGAGCGTGTCGCCAAACTCGCAACGCAGCCGAGCGACGCGCGAGGCGAGCGGTGAAATCCGTACGCCGATGCCGCCCCGGGCGCGATGACAGAGAGCCGTCGTGCGTTCAATGCGGAAGGGGCGGGAGTCGGAGGGTGGGGGGGTCACCGGGTCCAAGCGCACTCCCCAGCTGTTCCATCGCTCTCCATGATTGTTAATTGATGGTCGCTGAGGACGGGGCACCGCAGGTTAGCAAGCGGTCAGCGACGAGCGGCACTATGGCAGGGGGGTGGAATCATTCGGAGGCAATGAGGCTGCTTGGTGTGAGAGAGGGTCTAGGGACTTGGTAGAAGAGAGACCGCGGGAGGCTTAGAAGTAGAAACCGAGTGGGATGGTGGTGGAAGCACGCGGGGTGAATGGGACAGCGCGGCGTGGATGGGACAGCGCGGTCCATCTCGTAGCCAGGTCCTTGACGTGGGTGGAGTAATCTGTGACGTGCTAACCCTGTCTGCGTGCGTGCGACTAACGGGGGCGTGCGTGTGGCCTTTCGTTCCAGGCTGGTCGGCTCCGTCGGCGATCGGCATCGCTGGGCTCGGCGGAGGATTCGAGATTGGCGTCGAGGTAGGGAGGGGTGGTGGGGGTGCGAGGGTGGGGGGGGGGAACCCGGGAAGATTTGCATTCATGTGCAGCCGGCGGTGACGTACAATGTGTGCAACAACACTCGTTAAGCAGAATTTCATTTTTTTGCCAAAAATCCGCAAGCAGAAACTTTGATGAAAAAATGAAGATGTAGAGATTCAGTGAGGCGTCTTTGCATAATTAAGTATGGCTTTTGAAAATGATTATTACTTTATTTTATTCTACTTTCGACTGAATTGATTTTTTTGCAAAGCATTGGCAACCAACGATATTCAAATTTCGATTTAAAGCTTTCGTGACTGCAGTGATTCATATTATTGGTCCTTTCGGTAAAGTCACGTAGAAGGGAAATAATATTTATTTGTATTATTTTATTATTTCCCTTCTACGTGACTTTACCGAAAGAACCAAGAATATCATCGATATTCAGTCGAAGCAGGCGTTGGGAGTGAACGACTGACCTTGCCATTGGTACTCTGTACAATACATAATACTACACGATGTACATTGATCTGTAGCGTCAAAATGCAACCGTGTCTCAAGATGCTGTACAGAAACTATGGAACACGGCATCCAGGGTTAATGAGTCATTCACTTCACGGAGAGAGCGAGAGAGGCGATTGGTCAGAGGCAGACTCGAACAGGGGCAGGGAAGTCAACAGCACGGATGGCTGGGGGGAAGTGACATCAAGACCCTGGAGGCAGCAGAGGAGAAGGGGTGACCTCCCACCGAGCAAAGGACAAACGGGTCCTCAGAAAGAAAGCCTTAGCTGCTGGAGTGGAGAGTACGTGGAAGGGAGTTGAGAGACACGACGTTGGCAGTTCATGAGCACACGAAGCAGTGGGACAGTGGGCAGCAAAACACTGGGGTCGTTAATCTCACGACAAAGTTCAATTGCTGGGTTGCCGTGCCGCCTTTCAGGTCTCGGACTTGGTGATCATCCTCAACACCAGGCGGTCGGTGGAAGCGTTCACGAAAGGAGGCAACGTGACGCTCGGAGGAAACCTAACGGTGGCGATCGGTCCCTTGGGCAGGTACGCGCCTACATCGAGCCTCGATCCAGTATGTGCTGCGGCGGTGTGGCTCTCCACTACTTGCGAAAGTGGCAGGCCAAATGTATTTGTATCAATTCGTGTCTTAAGCCCTGGTGCTGCCAATACCTGATACAGTAGCGACCGCAGAGCCTCATGTTGAGGTCAGTCGCCCCTCTGGGGTCAAACTTCGCTCTTCAATGTGTCCCAGCCAGCAGGGGTTCTTCCTTGGTGTGATAGTCAGAGCACTGGCCTTGCAATCCAGAAGTCGTCAGTTCGATTCAGTCTCACAACAATCGGTCTACTGACAGGTTGCAATTGGTGGGCTAAAACGTGGGTACTGCCAACTCTTCCAAGACGCCTGGCTGGCGCGGCAGAGTAGAACTGCTGTTTGTGTTCAGTTTGATGTCGTTCCCCCGCACCTCCGATGGGCACGGCTGGCTGCGTACGGTGCAAAATACGTTCAACGTACAGTGCACGCGAAGGCCGAATGCCCCCTGCGAGGAGATGCCTCTCTCGAGCTCGCTCGAGCGGACGACGTTCCGCCAGCAGTGCCACGAGCAGGATATTTTGCAGGGCTTGTGCCTTTCGGAGCTGCGCAGAGCGCAGGGCGCTCGTTCTCCGCCGCCGCCACCGCCGCCGCCGTGCGTGGGATTGTTTATCTGTAATTCTAATGAGCGACGACACGCGCAGCGCGCATCGCATCGCCGGATTATGGCGCCGAGAGGTCGCGTGTGCGCCGACCTCTGTGTTTGCGCGGAGCGCTGCGCGCGTTTCGCCCGGCGTATATACGAACGGTTCATCGACCAATTTGCAGATTAATGAGCGAATTACGTTTCTGCTCGCCCCTCCCCCCCCCCACGTGCGTGCGCGAGCGCAGGAATGCGGAGGCGGACGTGGCGCTGCGCAGCACGTCGGCGGTGTACACCTACTGCCGGTCTCGCGGCCTCTTTGCCGGAGTGTCGCTGGAGGGCTCCTACCTGGTGGAGAGGAAAGACGCCAATCGCAAGTGGGTGTGAGCGGCGGCCAACGCCATTCCAGGGTGTTGCCAAAACGTTGCCACGAGCAGCCGTGCGCGCGTCTGTGTGTTGAACTTCTAGAGGGTAGTGTAGTGTTTCGCACACTTGCGCTACGAACCCGGCGACCCGAATTTGATTCCCGTTCATGGCCAACACCAGTGTTGATTATTTAAACCGGTCCTGGGCCTCCCCTAGGTCGACTCGGCCTCAAATGAGTACCTAGTGTGGAGTGTAAACATCGCCACTAGGGAGACAAAGGCGGTCGGGCGTGGTGCTGGCAACCCACCCCCTCGTGTACTATTCCGGCCTTCATAGGTGCTCGCTAACACCACTTGTCCCCAACAGTCTGCTAAGGCTACACGGGGGATCTTTGCCTTTGTTGAACTTCTAGAGGGGGCTCTACAGAGCTCCCTCTTGTGTGCATGGCCGTCTGGAACGTTCTTCCATTCCGATATGATGAAGCCACTAGAAGTTATGCACTTTAAAATCATCTAGATTGAAAACTAATTTCTTTACAACTGATTTTTGTGTTTAGTTTGTTGTCCTTCCCCCCCGCACCTCCGATAAGCGCGGTTGGCCATGTGCAGTGCGAAAGAAGTTCAACATACACACATACGTGGCGAAATAAAAATTGGACAGCCTTGCACTTCAAATACCACCGTGAGACCACAGGTTCACATGCTGCTTTTCAGTCCTCGGATTTTTATATTTTTGTATGAAATGTAACAAAGAATCCAAGACGATGACATGCCATGAGACAAGGCATCAGAGTAGCTGTCTCTGATCTTGTCGCGCAAAGCTCACAGGGATGTTTTCCTTCTCGGAGCTGGAATTGGGCCAGATCGAGGAGCAAACCGAAATTGGCGCCGCGATGCTCCATGTCCGCTTCGCTCGATGGTTCCGCGTCGCAGGTTTTACTGCGCCGAGCTGCGGGCGAGCGAGATCCTCGCGGGGGAAGTGAGTCCCCCCAAGGCGGCAGAGCCGCTGTACGAGCAGCTCGAGAACTACCTGATAGAGGCCGACCAGGACATGCTGCACGAGGCCACGAAGACCTCCCGCAAGAAGTCCCACCGAGACGTCCCGGTAAGCGATCGACTCGACGCGTCCACGATGCGCCCGGAGCGTAGCGAGCTTTTCGGACGAGGGAACGGGATGGGAACGGGGACCGACCGAGCAAGAGGATGCAAGGGAAAGAGAAGCAACTCGCTCGCTCACACTGACTCATCCGCTCGGCTGCGCGTTCGCTCACTCGCCCGCTCACTCATCCGCTGAGCCAACCATCCACTCGCTCACCCATTTGCTCACCCGCTCACCGACTCATCTGCTCGACTACGCATTCACTCACTCGCCCACTCACTCATCCGCTGAACCACCCATCCTCTCACTCACCCACTCACTCACATACTCACCGACCCCATTATTCACTTGCTCGCCCACTCACTCACTAACTTACTCCCTCAATCACTCAAGTGAAGGTGGGGCGGGGGGGGGGAATAAGCGATTGAAGGGTTCTGAAGGCACGATTGAGAAGGAAGGGTTTTTATGGGAGACTTGAAAGCAGAGAGATGTAGGGGAGGTGGGGGCAGACAGAGTTTCCTCCACTAGTGGTGGAGCAGAGGTTCCTGGGAGCAATGGGGAGGCCAGAATCTGTGGAGTGGAGGGTGCAGAGGGGACTTATGGGTGGAGAAGGCTGCAGAGGTTTGGTGGGGAGGCAGGGCCCTGATGGAGGGGAAGGCAGTGAGGTGCGAGATCGGTCGGAGACTGCTGGATGCCTCTCCAAGTGTACGTTCGCATCGCACCGCGACGTTTCTCTCCACGTCCTCGGCAGCTTCTTCGGGGACTTAGCCGAGCAGCTCGCTGCGGTAAGCGGTGGGAGGAAAGTGAGCTGCTTGACTCGGCTCCTGGAGTCGCTCCCAGCAAGTATAGCGAAACGTCGGACATCGTGACAAATGACCCAAGGACGCACGCACGAGAGCCGGCGACAACTCCGCAAACGCCGAGCCCCTTTGTGTGCGTGCGTGCTTGTGCGTGCGTGCATGCCTGTGCGCGCACGAGCATGTGGGAGTGCGAGCTTTCATGTTGACGAATGCGAGCGTCGCGGCGTGCGGATCTGTAAACCTGCATGTATTATGCATGTCCCAGCTGCGTGCGTGCTCTTTGCAACGACCCGTTTCCCCAGCCCAAGCCCAGGAAGACGGAGAGCGTGCGCTCGCAGGCGAGCCGCCCGGCCGCGTGGCAGTCTGTCCGCCAGAAGCCGTCGGGTGAGTGGGGAGCTCTCACGGGACAAAACAACACGCTCCGGACTCCTTGCGCCTCGCGCTCGTGACGCCCTCACCCCTTCACCCCCGCGTTCCCACCCCCACCGCTGTCCTCTGCTCCAACGCTATCCTCGGTCACGCCAAGCGGCCGTGTGGCGCGGTGAAAACTTGGCGGATGTGAAAGTGAACGTGCGTTTTTCATTCGCTTCGTGGCGTTTTAAGCGGCCGTAGGCATTCCCGACTCGCGTAGGGTGCTCTTTGCCGAGAGGGCCGTACGGCTCTCCGGGTCGTGCCAAGTGCTGCGCGAGCTCCCGTGTCGGTCCCTCACGAAGCCGCCAGCAGATGGGGTGAAACGTCGGACGTCGTGCCGAACACGGCGCGGTATCACCCGAAAACGCGCCACGGGGCTCTACGCATCGCTTCGACAACTACGTGGGGCTGACTGTGACGACGTTGAAGAGGAGCTTCGTCTTAAACGTGCCTCTAAAATATATATATTTACGTGTGTGTGTGTGCGCGTATATGCTGTATATATTTAATTATTTGAAAGCAACACATTTAAAAATAGCATCCTCATAAATCCGCAGCACCCTCGGCCCGTGACGCTGCGCTTGCGTGAATGGACAGCAGCCGGCGTGCCGCGGCGGGGGGCACTAGCGGCCAGGCGAGGATGTCCGGGGACGGCGCCGAGGTCACCGCCGCCTCGCAGCTCCGTGATTCTGATCTCCCCTCTCACGCGGTGCCAGCGGTGCACGAGCGGCGGATTGCCGCACGCTCCCTTGCTCGCTCGCTCGCTCGCTCGCTGTTCCACCCCCCACCCCCTCACCAAGTCTTTAAAGGCCAATCACTTGGCACTTGCGCCGCTGTTTATATTCACCGCAGCTGGTATTTATTGAGATTTTTCGTTTAGTTGGGGTGGGGGGAAGAGGGGACGGTGGCACAGTGGTTGGCGCAGTGCGCGATGATTCGCCACCCTGATCAGTTCGATTCCCGGCCACGAAGCCAAGGGATTGCCAGGCATCTCCACACTGACCAGCGTGGCGAAGTCCGATCAAGAAAGCGTCACGACCGACACTGCACCTCCGAGTGGCACGGGTTGGCTACGTATGGTACGAAAGAAGATCAACATACGTACACGGGGACACCTTCGTCCATACGTCAGGGCCGGGACGTTTTGTTATTATTTGTGAACTTTGTTAAAATTCAGGGGGGGGGGCATTGAAGGCATCAATTCGGCTTCCCCCTCCACCCCTCCCCCGTCCCCAACCGAGGCCCTGTGCTCTGCCTTCGAGGCGTTGCTGCGATACAAAGCCGGCAGCGAGAGGCGGTTGAACTCATCTCATCTTTACCGCGCCTGGAGGACGAGCGGAGCTTAACGCCGGCAGCGAGAGGCGGCGCTGATGGACGCGGCGCGAGTTTGGGTGATGGACCCACGGGAGCGCTCCTCTCTGTGGGCGAGCGGAGCGTGGAGGGGCGCGTCGTCACCGAGCGATCATCGGGAGAACCCCCTCCAGCCCCCCCCAGCACCCCCCCCCAGTCCCCCCCGCCCCTTCCCGTTCCACGCCCGACTGAATCCCCGAACATCAAAACCCTTCCAGCGTTGCGCGGGCACACAAACCGTCCTCCGGAAAATAAGACTCGCGCCCCAAGCCTGTGTGCGGTGTGAATGGTCTTGTACCAAACCTGGTCGCTCACACACACACAGCGACCGGATATCGTAAGAAGCAACCCCACGTGTTTTTTTGCTTTGAAGAGCATGGGGAGGGGGGGGGGTCTTGGTAAATCCGGACGCGGTGGCGGTCACGCCACGGTGACCGTGCGCGCACCCTGCGAGCGGGAACAATTCGCCTCCTTTGTGCTGTAACAAAACCCCGCAGAAGAGAGGCGAGTCTGCGACAAAAACACGTGAATGCCAGCCTCCTCCATTCGACGCATTCTACGGAGTCCCAACCCCTACTCCCCCCACTCCCCCCTTCTGAAAAGAAAGCCTATTGCGTCTTTGTTCTGAATTTAAAGAATGTATATGTGTTGGAAGTTGCTTCGGCGTCTTGGATTGCCACAGATCACTTGGCGAAATGAAAGCCGGCGTCGTGCGAGGATGAGGTCTGCGCAGCCTCTGCCTTGAATGCGTCCGCCACCTGCAGGCTGGCGGCCCGCCAAGGGAAGAACAATGGGGCTTGGTGTTCGCATCTTTATTTTCAAGTGACCTCCCTTTTCCCTATCCACAGGTGTTTGATGCGTGACACACAACCCGGTCTATATTTTCAATTCTCAGAGCTGAGATGTAGGCGTCATTTGGTGACCGTGCCCGGACTGTCAAAGTCACTTGCCCTGATTCGAACCCAGGCCCTCATCGGTGCCCACTCAGCGCTCTGACCTCTGAGCCACCTCCCAACGGCGTGTTGCATCAATAAGCAACCGAAGAACAACGTTACTAATTAATGCCTGGGTTTCCGTGTCCATTCACTGCCGTTGCTTGTAGGTTCATGAACCGTCTTTGCGCCAAAGATTCAGCGGGTGATGGTGGCCAGCGCTTGACTGCACGCTCCGTTGTTTTGCTCCACTCTGCGGGTTGTTGTTGTTGTTTTAGAGGCCAGGGCTCGGCATTATGATACCCTCCCAGAAACTCTTCCAGGGCCAGTGAAGGATTATTTTAATAGCTTGCATATGAAAGAAACGCAGCAAGCGTATCGGTGGCCAAGGCGCTTATTACTCTGCATTATGTTGGTGTTTTTTTTCCCTCCCCTCGCTGTGGAGCTGACCTTCTGAAATTAAGCCTTCACAGCCAAAGGCCACGACTGTCACTGGACCATCACGTGCGCAGTGTTGCCGGAGGGAGCGTGCGCGTGCGCGCGACAGCGAGCGCTTCATGTTGATGACGGTTGCTCATCCATTAGCCGCTGGGTGGCCCTCCCTGTTACGCGCGTGGAAATGCCACCTCGGCGCAGACCCGTGACCGTCTCCTTGCCCTTTGGGTCCCGGCCTGCGCCGGGAATCTCCAGGTCTTTCAAACTAAATGTTAATATTATCATTTTAGCATTAAAACCCATCCGTGTTTGTCCGTTCTTCCACCACCCCCACCGAGATGCAAATTATTCGTCTGTGAGATATGCACATTGGATGGGGTTTTTGTTATCATGCAAATAATCTTCTTTTGTCGATTCCCACAGATATAAGATACCATTTTTTTAAGTGTTACATTCTTTAAAGCTTTTGATGATAAGTCATGTAGTGACTGCATCTCTGTAAAATTGGAGTGTAATTGTTATCACACTGCACTTGCAACCCAGGGGTGGCCGGTTCGAACTCCCGGCGTGGCGATTGAAACGTCGGTGGCAAGTTTCTTAAATCTCCCGGCTCTGTCCAGCCAGCGGCACAACATGGTACACGGCAGTTGGGCGATGGTAGGGATGGAGAGAGAGTTTATATCTGGCCACTGTTGAAGAAGCGTGGGCAACACGTCCTCTGGCGAGGCACTGTAGAACTCCGTGTGGTGAGGGCGTGAGCCAAGACATTGCAGGGATGCGCCTTTACCTCTTTCCGTATTTTAATGTTTGAAATAAAATAAAAACTGGTGAGCTGCTTTGGCATGTTAGCAGGGCCGTTTGTTTAGCTGCAGTACTTGATAATTTAAGGATAAAACTTCGCCATCTATAGCTGCTCCATAGAAAGAAAAACTTTTGACGTCGCACAAAAAGATGATCGTTGCATAGGCTCTCGTCGATGGGATGATGATGATGTTAGTATGGGTTGTCCTCTAAACCCTCGTTTGAGTCTCACCGCTTTCAGATTCTGAGACTCGAAACCAAATGGTTCCCCGTCCGCGCTGCCCGTGCGTTCCTCCTGCCCGTTGCGTCCCTCCTGCCCGTGCGTTCTTCATGCCCGTGCGTTCTTCATGCCCGTGCGTCCCTCCTGCCCGTGCGTTCTTCATGCCCGTGCGTTCTTCATGCCCGTTGCGTCCCTCCTGCCCGTGCGTCCTTCATGCCCGTGCGTCCCTCCTGCCTGTGCGTTCTTCATGCCCGTGCGTTCTTCATGCCCGTGCGTTCTTCATGCCCGTGCGTTCTTCATGCCCGTGCGTTCTTCATGCCCGTGCGTTCTTCATGCCCGTGCGTTCTTAATGCCCGTGCGTTCTTCATGCCCGTGCGTTCTTCATGCCCGTGCGTTCTTCATGCCCGTGCGTTCTTCATGCCCGTGCGTTCTTCATGCCCATGCGTTCTTCATGCCCGTGCGTTCTTCATGCCCGTGCGTCCCTCCTGCCCGTGCGTTCTTCATGCCCATGCGTTCTTCATGCCCGTGCGTTCTTCATGCCCGTGCGTTCTTCATGCCCGTGCGTCCCTCCTGCCCGTGCGTTCTTCATGCCCGTGCGTTCTTCATGCCCGTGCGTTCTTCATGCCCGTGCGTCCCTCCTGCCCGTGCGTTCTTCATGCCCATGCGTTCTTCATGCCCGTGCGTTCTTCATGCCCGTGCGTTCCTCTGCCCGTGCGTCCCTCCTGCCCGTGCGTTCTTCATGCCCGTGCGTTCTTCATGCCCGTGCGTTCTTCATGCCCGTGCGTTCCTCTGCCCGTGCGTTCCTCCTGCCCGTGCGTTCCTCCTGCCCGTGCGTTCCTCCTGCCCGTGCGTCCGTTCTTCCTGTGCCTATCTCGCGCGTTGCCGTCCTGACTCGGTGCGTCGGTGACGCCTCGGACGGGCCGAGCCTCCCGCCCGGCGAGACGTCGCAGCTCTGCTCCGGTGCCGCCGCGGCCAGATCTCATGGACATTAAGCCACGTTAGATTTTTCTCGTGAATAATGTCACTACATTTCATTACGCTCATCGTCGCCTCGGGGGTTTGGTTGCATGCAGCAACACGAATTCACTTTCCTAATTAGTTTCTCAACTAAATTCGATGCAGGTTAATGGACATTATCACTTACGATGTCTTATTGCAACCGGTCATCGGGCCAAATCGCCGCGAACCCCGGCTGATCTTGGAAGCTGAGCAGAGTTGAGCATGGATCGTGCTTGGATGGGCGACCACCATACAGTACTTAACCACGGGTGCTGCGTGGCTACGTTATCAGTAGAGGGCAGTCCTGAAAAATGCCACTGTTGGACTGCACTATACAGCGATGTCTACGCTCTGCACCGACCAACATGGTGACATGTGTCGTATAGATGATGGCCCTTCAAGCCGTCGCGTCTCGCGGCATTTTCCACGTCGCGACCAGCGACTGGCATCGCGCATCTCGTCTCCACGTTAGAAAGGGCACCCCCCTCACCCCCCCACCCCCCCCCCGTAGCGGCTCTGTCTCGGTGCTGCGCGATGCGACCTCGGCACCTGCCCTGCGAGCGAGCATCCATCTGCCAGTAGTGGGAGGTGGAAGTAGGGGGGCAACGATCGCTCTGTGTACCCCCAATCGAGTAACGGTCGAAGTAAGACCACGTACGTGACTGATCCGTCGCAGCACGTGGCGAGGCGCCGTCAAAGGCGCTGCGCTGCGCCCCGTCGCCACCCGCTCGGTCGGATGACCACGACGATGTCCGCAGGGTCGTGGTCCCGGGGCGCCGACGGCGACTCTCAGGCGGCGGCGGCGGTGGTGGCGGTGCGCCCCTTCAGGGGCCAGCTGCCCTGCGACCTGAGCTTCGGGTTGGGCGAGCGAATCGAAGTGGTGACCCGCACCAAGTCCCGCGACGACTGGTGGGAAGGCCGCCTGCACGGCCGCCTCGGGATCTTCCCCGCCACATACGTGCGGGACTGCTAGGCGACGGGCGCAAGCGGTGGCGGCAACGTATCGGTGACGGTGCATTGACAACAATGTATCGACGATGATGTGTCGGTGACGACATATCAAGGACAATGTATCGGTGGCCACGTGTCAATGACCACGTGTCGATGGCCGTGTTCGTGGTCTGGGTGTTTTTTCTGGAAGCTGCTGGATTTTAATGCGTTGAGAATAAACTGTGGGGAAATATAGCGCCAGTTACTTTGCAACCTGTACACGTATGTAGTAGCACTTTGTGTAAACTGATGACGAAGACAGACGTATATATATTCACGGCTTATTATCATTTATTACACCCAGAATTCTCTTGCAGTGCCATGAGAGGTTTTATAATTACGCAAGTGAACACAATATTATTATGGGTTGTTTTGAGAAACAAAATATATGAGCTGAAATGTTTTGTAATATATATGCAATACAGTATAACATGCTATATGCAATAAATACGGAGTTTAATTTCTTGTGTCAATTGTTACCCGTGTCATTTTGGGGCAAAAACTGTCAATTACCACCCACGACATACACCACCCATGGTGAACACCGCTCATGGTGAACACCGCCCGTGGTGAACATCCCCATGGTGAACACCGCTCATGGTGAACACCACCCATGGTGAACATCCCCATGGTGAATACCGCTCATTAGTCGCCACGCCTCAGTGCTGTGATGCAACAACAAACCACACCCGAGCACTTGCACGCCAACTCATTTCATTGGTCCATCTCCTCGCTTGCTTGATGTGCTCTCAGATGCCTTCCATTCCCCTTGGCTGCCGTTCCATCGCTACCCACTCTGTTCTAAACCAACAGTTGTGTCATCCCTTCCAGCCACGACGTGTCCTGCCCAAAGTCCATTAACGTTGCTAATTACGTCTTTAACTAATTACGTCTTTAACTAATTAAGTCTTGAACTAAGTACGTCTTATATCTTTAACTAACCCGCGTATGTTCACGCGTCCACGTATTCCTCATCCTGTCTCTCAACGTAATGCCAAGCATGCAAATCTCTCCAAGCGTCTTTGTGCATGTTTCTTCTTTTTGTTCTTTTCGTCGTTGTTGTTTGGTGAACGACGTGTTTTCTGTAGAAACACAACGGCAAAAAAACCAAGGAGCAATGAAAATTGAGCTGCCAGTCGGGGGAACGCAGCCAACACAGGAAATTATGTTTTTCATGGTGTGGGAATTACTCCGCTTATTTATGGCCCAATTGTGATAATTAGCGGACTGTGCAGCATAGTAATTTCATAATTTAATAGATGCCGTTCACAGTGGCTTAATGAATGCCAACACTCATTAATGCTGCGATGACTTGGCCGTCATGTACGCACGAGCGTTGTGTGGCGATGACGCCTGGGTTGGCAATGCAATGCCACCTTTGGCAGAGATGGATGCGAAATGCGCACTGGGGGATGAACACAGCGGCTTTAGGGGCTGCAGCACGGAGCCTTTGATTTTGAACAATATGTACTGCTCGAAATGCAATATCGCTAAAGAACGATGATCAATGCCATAGATGCATAGGGTAAAGCCGCACCACCATCAGAATGTGAATTCCTATATTCATAGTGAACAGCGGCATGACAACGTGCGTAGAGAGGAACAATTCAATCAGTCAACTTTAGCTGCTCCGACACGTGGATTGGAGTCATGGACAAATGAAGACGCTGAAAAGTGAGCGAATAATCGTGGAGATGTGCGTGTTTGGAATTACACCGAGTGGAAAAAAACATGCAGCAACAGGTCAGAGGGCAACAGGGAAGTAGGGTCGGACATGTTAATTGTTTTCGTAAGTGGGCTTGGGCAGGACATCGTTTTAATCATAGCCGATGGATGAGGCTGATGGTTGAATATCAGCCAAAGGAGGCAACACACCCAAGGGGATGAGAATCAACGTTGAGATGGAGTGATGAGATGAGCTCATGAGCAGGAGACGGATCGCTGGACCACGAGGGATCGGGAAACAACGTGGGGGCAGCCTTCATACAGCAGTGGATAGAAAATAGCCGACGATGAATATATTGCTAATTTCAGTGTGGCTGTATTGGGCATGCTCAATAGACCCGCAAAATTAAGGTTTTCTATTCCTGACCTAACCTTAGTAGCTCCAATTATATTATTTTCAGGGCTTCCCTTGTTCGCTGCCTGCTCTTTGTAAGAACATTCAAGAAATGTCAAAGGCAGCGATACTTTCTCCTGCAGAAACTTAAAGGCTGCAGTGGAATTATTGCCCGCCACTTAAAATGTTGTTTATTTCGTGTTGATGAGCACAGGCCCAAATGTCCAGCAACGAAAAGCACGATTAATGGTATAATAGGTAAGTTAATGTTTTTAATGAGCAAATTCGTAAGAATTTTAGGTGTGAAAATCCCGAAATAAAGCGGTGCTCAAGAGCAGCGCGAAGTGTTCCTGCAGTCGTTGAAGACTCGCCGATGAGACGCAACACTCGAGTAGGCCAAGGTCTCCACGTGAGCCGAGGAATCAAAGGTGGAGAAGTGTTTTGACCCCCACTTGCACGGTGGCTGAATGTGGAGTCACTTAAGAGTCCTGAACGTGGGCGGACTATGTACGCGTAGTATCGCCCAGATGCTGGGACAGCACTGGTCTACGATTCATACGAACTGGTCTCATCCTGTGGGTCTGGTCCCCCCCCCCCTCCCGCAAGCCATGGGCATGGATGCTGTGCAGGAGTCATTTCTGAATGTGACACATCGGCACCACGTCCAGCGACACAACACGCTCATGCACACAACACGAGAGAAATGTGTTTCCATACCTGTCAACTCATCCGGGTTACCCGTATTCTTGTACAGGGAAAGTGAGCAAAAGATTGTTCGTGTCTATTTGTTTGTATTTATCCCCTGTGATGGGACTTTGTAGGATGAACGTTCAGATGTACAAGGGCACCACGGGGTGACCAATAAGGTCTGAATTGTTCTGTCATAAGGTCGGCACTGAGCAGGGCTTGACAGGTGTGTGTTTCTAACACTGCCTTGACTAGAGATGTGGACACATGCTCTCTCTCTCTATATTGTGACCTTAGTAGAGGTGATGGGGTGATGGGGTGGTGGGGTGTCGGCATGGGCACCAGCAGTTTTGATTGGGGGGCGACCATACCCAGGGCCACCTCGAGAGGGAGCGGGGTTGGAGGGTAAGAGAGGCATTTCATTCTAGATTTGAAGCTTTTGTGACTGCAAGGATTCATACTCACCTACCTACGTGACCTACGTGACTTTACCGAAAAAACCTAAGAGTAGGCATTTTATTCTGGGCCTCGCTACAAAAAAGAGTCCCATGTGACATTCTCCCTTTGGGCCTCCAACCCTTGGGCCTCCGTGAAGCTTTGTGCGATCCTGGCCATCCCAAAACAGGCCCGGACCACCTCCTGCCTCTGCTTTCCACAGAGGCTGCACACGGACGAGCATTTGGCGTTGCATTGCACTGCCCCCTCGTGTAAACACACACGCAGTGCACCTTTCAGAAGCAACTTTATTCATGGTTATACTTTGTATCCGTATGAAACATGCATGGATTGCAAAGCTGTAAGCACACAAGGCTTGGGCTCCAAAGGTGGCCACTTCACTTGACACACACGCACGCGCGCGCCCTCTCAGGCGCGCTCAACACCGACAGCCTCCTGTATTGCAACGTTCGCCTGCTGCATTTCGAAAAATAAAAAATAAAACGATCGGCGGTCGCCAACAAAAAATTAAAGAAAAATAATTCTATTTGTACAAATTTTTGTTTATATTAAAAAAAAACTTTTTTTTTAAAAAGAGCACTGAAAAAAAAACTATAAATAGTAACGACGAACATTTACTCTCCGCTTTTAAGTTATTCAATAATATTAGCAATAAATAGTAATAAATATATATTTTTAAAACACTGCATTGTAAAACAAATCAACGACAACAATAACAATTATAAATGCTTTTGAAGGCTCAGTGTTCTGAGTGGCTATCGCGGGGAGAGCGGGGGGGGGGAGGAGGCATGGGGAGCTTGTCGGGCTGTTTGAGGGGGGCCGTGGTTTCAGCCACAAGCAATGTTGGGTGGGGGATGGGGGGGCAGCTAAAACAAAAAGCCAAGCGCGCTCTCTCCGCCGTGCTCTCCTCGGGGTGCCGCGCCACGCTCGGTCTGACGACGACGACGCCGACGGCGCCCGGTGGGGGGGGGGGGGGGGGCACGACCCCCTCCCGGCCGCCGCCCCCCCCTGAATTAAAAAAATTCCCCAATCGGAGAGAGCGGCGACAACTGCAGAGCGCGCGACGAACAAAACAAAAAAGCACTCCGCGACTTTGTTGTGCGCGAGCGGCTGCCTAAGCGGTGACCACGAGCGCGGCACGTTCCATTGACCTCCTCCTCCTCCCCCCCCCCCTCCCTCTACGCTTCTCATCTAGCTCGTTCGATTTTTTAAAAGTTTTTTTCACTTTTTTTTGTCACAACGGTTTTTGCGAGAAGAATACGATTACTAGTACAGTATACTCCAGTGTAAAAAAAATAATAATGGCGTAACAAGGCTTATCATGCATTGGTGAAATGTAAAAGTTGATTTGCAAAGTGTTCATTGTGATGTTTCTTCTTCTTATTCAAGAACCCATCCCGAGCCCAAACACAAATCCCGTGTCACAACAAACCCGCATTGTTTTCTTCAAATGTTGATACTAAGACAAAAGTTTTGGTTTTTGGGATCAAGCTAAAACCCATTATTCTTTTGTAACATCACATTACTGTTAATACTTATAAATGGTAGCAAAACTCAAAATGGAAGCTACCAGCACTTCATACCATAAAAATAATTTAAAAATAATTTCAATACGGCAAAAAGATGCAACCATGTAATTTTTTTTCTCCTACTCTCTGCGTCCTTTTGAATTTTTTAAGTTTTGTCATTCCTTATATATACTATGTTTTATATATATTAAGTTGCATGATAAAATTACAGTACTGAAAAGTTTCACAAGGCCTTCCTCCTTGCTGTGCATTTTTCCTCTCTCTCTTCTCTCGTTTTGCTCACAGCTGCTTCACCTGATTGCGACATGAAAACCCTTGGGTGGGGTCCGCTGGCAGATTGTACATAAACTACACACGCACAACGCACACGTGCGCGCACGCACACACACACACACACCTGTAAATAAACGCGTGGATTTAGTGCCAGACATTTCGACGTGCATAGACGCAATCTGTATTCCCGCTTAAACTGTGTGTTCTTTGAGGCCACGTACAAAAAGTTCTACTTTGTGTAAATATGCGTTGCTAGCTAACGTATGCCCCGTGTTCGTCGTCAGGGTTAAATGTGAATTGAGAAGAGTGGCAGGGGTGGAGGTACTGACGCGTGTTTCTCCGTACCGATCTGCGCCATTTCGACGCGTTAGAAACGCCCGGCTGAAATCATCCTGAGCTCAAGCCTGCAACGATAGATAAATAAATAAATACTCACGAAAACAATCCGCAACTAGAATAAATTATTATCCAAATATGTTCGTGTAAAAGCCACAATTTCCAGTTTGATTGTATCATTTTTTTCCATTTTGCTACTATCGGAATGATTATATTAACGTTTGCATTGATTATAGCGCTTGTTTTACTTTTCCATAACGGAATATACTCAGCCCACAGGCTCGGTGAAACAGCAATTGTCTTTGTCTGCAATGGATTGTCAAAATGCTGCTCATGGTCAAGTGTATTATGGGAGATAATAGAATTGTGTATTATTTTATGAAATCTATGTCTAACTTCTACATTTTTTCACTTTCTTAAGACACCAACACTTACTGAAAATTCTTAAATACCTACGACAATGTTAAGTTGGTAAAACATTTTTGTTTGTTTAAAACAGAACATGATTCTTTGAGCGAATTTTTTTTCTCTCTCGAACACTACGACAGGACCCCTTCCCAAAAACGTTTCCCCTCCGACAAGCGGCGCCGCCACCACCGCCACCACTGACGCCGACGCCGCCGCCGCCGCCAGCAAAGTGGCCGGAGCCGATCCTCTGCCGCGTCATGGCACGGCACTCAACAAAGTGATTCGTCCAACGCCTAACACAGCGGCAAACACAGTCGAATATTTCGCAAACCAAAAAACCACCCCTTTGCGCCGTTCTCTCCGCAGACGTTAAACCGAGATCCGTCCATTCCGTTAACACGTCTACCTTGCTTCGTCGCGAAAATATTTGACATTTTAACTCTTTTCGTTTTTTCTGGCGGTGAACTAGAACCTTTGCGAGAGGCGGTTGAGAAACCTCGGCTGCTGCAGGAGGTGGTGGAAATGAAACCTCATCGTCGGAACAGGTGGGGGGTGGGGGGGTGGCGGGAAGGAGTTGGTCCAAGGTCCCTTCCCTCGGCCGGTCGGTCGAGACTTCAATGCACCCTCGGCGCTGCCACGGTGTCGACGGAGAGGAGCTCGGGCACCCCGCTACCCCGGCAACTCAGCGTGGACGGCGCGCTGCGGCTGCCACGGCAGAGGGGCGGCCGTGAGAGGCACCCCGCCCCTCACACCTGGATGCCCTTGACAGCCTGGCGGATGGTGTCCAGCAGGGCCTTCTGCTCGGGACTCTGGTAGTGGTCCTGGTTGCTGTACATGTCCGTCAGCTTGGTGACGTACGCGTCAAAGTTCTGCTCGTTGATCGGACCCTGAAAGGAAAAGGCAAAAACGCACGTGCGCTCACTCGCTCGGTTCGTTCCTTGTAGGGAAAGGTGAAAAAAAAAGTCAAAGTAAAGTACAGGTACAGCCGTGCCATTGTTGACTCATTAAGTGAAGAATTGAATTTAACATTAAGGGGGATTTTTTTTTGGAGACCAGGCTGAGACCACAAAATTGAGCAGCAAATGTCCACAAGCGGTGGGGCGAAGCGTGGGTACTCCTTCTCAAATCCATTTGGCCAACGCAGCAGAAAGGGGTCGCACGCCGCCCTTCTAAGGCAGAGGTCTCGGCTTCCTCTGCGTCGGCTTGAGCGTTGCGCGAACGTCGCGTAATGTAGACGACGCTGGATAAAACTCGAGCGGTGAGAAAGTTGACGGAGAAGCCCTGCGAGATTACTCACGCAGGGGCCTCCGCGAGATTAGCACGGTTGGCTACGTAGTACGGTGCGAAAGAAGTTCAACGTAGCGTACGTATACGTAGAGGGAGCACGAGAGAGCCCCTCTCTATAGGGTACGTGGCCTACTCTTCCACGCCGGCCAGACGCCTTAAAAGAGGCGGGAGAACCCACACTTTAGGCCACCGCTCGTGACTTGCCGATCGACTGACTGGTTTTTACTGCTGGGTGGACAGAGGCGGAGGGGTGGAATTAAAGAAACTGGCATCATTGTTTCAACCACTGTGCCGGGAGATCGAACCGGCAATGTCTGGATTGCAAGTCCGGTGTCCGAACCATTACTCCGCAATGCGGCAGCATCGCTTCGTCCTCTAGAGACGTTCATAAAACACAAAACTCGACGCGAATTTGTGAGTTGGACTAAGAGATTCCTAGGGGACAGTAGAATGGAATTTTTGGAATCCAACTGCGCAGAGTTTTGAGTACTACTTCCTCCAGATATGTGGATTAATATTAATTTGAATAAATGTTCATTTGACTACGTTCTCTTAATCCACGTGTTCCTCTTTGAGTCATTCAATGTGATTCTGAGCACGCATCTCGCAAAGACGCATGGCGACGACTAACACGGGTTAATGACATCACCCAAACTGTAAAAAAAAGTGGGCTTGGAGCAGGACGGACCGCTAGAAGGTTAGATGGTCGACAGCCAAACTGGGTGGGAGCCAAAGAAGGGATCACACCCACTGAGGAGATGGCTTTGTGGAGTTATCCATCCAGCAGTGGATCGATTATGGCTGATGGTGATGATGATAATAAGCAAAACGTGTATATCTCATCTCTCTCAACATTTCTGGAAATGTGCTCAATGCCCTCGCGCCTGAGCGGGTACCATGTGGGGCAGCTGCACGTTGGAGAGGCTGCAGATGAGGGCCTGGCTCAGGCTGCTCAGCTCCTGGAGGAGAGCCTCGTTCTGCTGCTCGATGACGCGGTTCTCCTGCTCCATCGTCTGGAGGCTGTTCTCCATGCTCGTGATCTGCAGCGAGGTTTCAACGCAAAGCCGTAAGCGGGGAAACACCAGTCCGGCGCCTCCCAAAGTAGCGTTCTTCAACGACAAACCGGACACCATTATCATCATCATCGATTGCCGGTTCCATGCTGACCAGACTCAGTGGAATAGAACCGGTGACCAGTGTGGTAACCATTATACCACGGCGACGCCCGACGTGTCTTAGTTATCACGTTAAAGATGTGTTTATCGCGAGACATTTATAAATGTGCGGGAAACTGGTATTAACCGTCTTTCATCGTTTTTTGATCAATGTGGTGAACCAGTAATCAAACAAACCCTGCGCCTGGGTTGACGAGTGGAAAGAAGATGTGGGTGCCACGTTGGCGAGATATTAACTCCCTTCCCCGGGTTCGATCCCGACCCTGACGCCTGTATATTTAGATCATGGGACCTCCTTTGCCAGTACCAAAATATTAGAATAGGGTTTTCCCGTTTTAACTGGCAACAAAACAGGTTGTTAAAACACCAAACTGAAACCTTTTACAATGAATCATGTAACTGCATTAACCACAATACTTGTGGTCAAAATGCAAACAAAAAACATACTCTGATAATATATGCATTGTCTTTGAAACTGATTGTTCCACACCAGAGACAGCTTCTTTGAGCCTAGTCTCAAATGGTATTAGACCAGAGGACGCCAGAAGGCGTACAGCCCAAAGACAATGCACTATCAGAGTAATGAGAGCTCGGGGTGAGCATCTACATCATGGGACCTCCTTTGCCAGTACGAAAATATGAGAATATGGTTTTCCCCTTTTATCAGAGTTTGCATGTATTTCCCCTCCGCATTTTGAATCGGCATCATGCGTTTAGAGTATTTGGCTGCTATAAATTTCAACGCGATGATAAGTCACTTCGTGGAGCTATCATTTGCGATGGCCAGGTCCACTTAAAAAAAAAAAGAAGCTACGGAGCACAGGTGGGCAATGAATGGGAAGATAGAAAATAGTTTGTTGTGGTTTTAGTTTTGAATATAAAGACAACAACAACAAGCCAGGCACGCAGCACCAACAGTGGAGTGACGACCCCCCCCCCCCCCCCGAGTCAGTGAATTAATTGCCTGAGAGTGATCGTCTCCTCCTGAGCTCGGGTCCGCGTCCCCCACCTGTGTCTTGAGTCGAATCATGTCGGCCTCCATCTGCGAGTTGGACTCGTTCAGCTCCTTGATCTCCTCGTCCAGTTGCCGGATTTCCTCGTCGTTTTCCACGCCTGCTGGTCGGCACGGCAACGCGGCGCCGGCAAACGTCCCGGAGAGTATCGGGGGGGAAAGAATGAAACACGGTGGCGAGATGTTAACTACCTCGCCTGGTGTGCAGGAGGTCGTGGGTTCGATCCCGTACCCTGGCGCCTGCTGTATGTTTGTCGTTTGCGGTGTCTCTCTCGTCATCATCACGGTGGCTAGGAAATGTTATTTCTCTCGCCTGGTATACAGGAGGGCGTGGGTTCGATCCCGTCCCCTGACGCCTGCTGTATGTTTGTCGTTTGCGGTGTCTTTCTCGTCATCATCACGGTGGCTAGGAAATGTCAACTACCTCGCCTGGTATACAAGAGGGCGTGGGTTCAATCCCGTCCCTGACACCTGTTGTACATTTGGAGTTGGCGGTATCTCTCTCTCTCTCTCTCCGTGCTCCGGTTTTTCCGTCCACATTTAGAAACATGCTTTTAGAGTATTTGGCTGCTCTACATTTCCACGTGATGATAAGCCACTTCGTTGAGCTATCATTTGTGAAAGCCAGGTCGCTTCTGAAATAGAGCTATATAGCTCAGTGGGCATCAGCTGGTAAAATAAAAATGTTTTTTAAGTTTTTATCATTTTTAATAAATTATCCAAATATAATCCTCCGCAGAGAGGTCTACTCGCTTCATGTGCCAATAACATCACCTATTTAATATTTTTTACTTTTAAAGCCACGGCGTTTGGTATTGATGTATTTGTTGAGTTTTTCAAGCATAACATCGGCGGCGAGGTTTTTTAAAAAAAAGCAATGCGTCCCAGGGTTGTAAATCTGTGATACAAAGTGCAGGGGTTGATGAAGAACGCACAGCAGGTGGGGAGTGTGAGCGCGCACCCTCACCGTTGCTTGCCCGCAGCTTGATGGTCATCATCTCCTCCCCGGACAGCTTCGCTCGCTTCATGGCCGAGGTGGCTCTGGGGCACCCCGAGAGGCTGCAAGCGACAACGGCACAGAGCGGAGATTCAGCACCAAGATCCACGCCTGAAATGCCATCGTGACCAAAAAGCTTTCGACGCCGCCACACCGCGCCTCTCACTATCCGGTGCGCAAAGCTACCACGGCGTAGATTTTTCCTCAAAAAAGCCTCACGAGTCTCAGGAAGGTAACGTTTACTACATGTGACCAATTCCCCCAGGGTGCAGGCCTCGGAAGGTCTAAAGCCAACGCGCACATCTCACAGCCGCTGCATGGCAGAGATGTAGCCTAGAAGACCTTCAAGATCTGCCCGAAGAGTGTCCCACCACATTTGAATAAACATATTTCATAGTTGTTGAACTTCATTCGCACCGTACGTAGTCAACCCTGATAACCGGAGGTGTGGGGGGAAGGAGAACTAAACTGAAAAATCAGCATCGTGCGTCTACCCCGGTGTCGATATATCAGGGTAAGGAATTGTTGGCCAACCTTACAAATTGGCTCTGTCGGGTGGTGGCGGGTTGAACGACACATTTATATCTACGCGATCTAACCCAAAGAAACCTCTATTGTGGATAATAACACTGGTCGCGAAAGCCCGCGTGTTAAAACAACGATTTGCATTATTGGGTGTCGCTTTAATGGCCCAGCAGCCGGGGGCAACCGACGGAACAGGCGGGTAACGGTCCACGTAGCAAATCGTCTCGCCGTCGTCGGGAGGATGGACGGCGACCGTCGCTACCTGCGGTGCGAGAGGAAGGTGCCGCTGGCGTGGCCCGAGCCGTCGCAGCCCGGCGTGGGGCACTGCGCCCCCTCCACCTTGCTGCCCTTCCAGGAGAAGGGCAGGCTGGGCAGCGAGCCCTCACGCTGACGCCTTGCCGCCAGCGGGCAGCCCGACGCGCTGCGGTGCGACGTGTACTTCCCCGTCACGTGGCCCTGGCCCGCACAGCCCGGCACGGGACACCTGGGCGGCACGACGGGCGGCGCCGGGCGACGTTACAATTCCGCGCAGGTGTAAAGGTTTAACAGTAACGACGACGGCGATAATGTCACGAGCAAAGTGGTTCACGGTCAGCGCTGATGATTCGTAATTGATTTGTGGGGCTGGGAGACGTGGCGATCATTCTGACTCTCGGGTTGCACGACACGAGGATGAAGTTTCAGGTGAAACTTTGCTCGTGTCTAACTGCTAAGTTTGTTGGTGAGGATTTTGTTCTTGAACTCACCGGTGAACTGAACCGATAACAACCGACGCTTTAAACGCTCGCAGGGCGGTGGTGGCTACGCATGTGGCCTGTAATCCAGCAATGCGGAGGCAGCGAGGGTTGGTAGATCACCGCGTGAGCGTTGTGCAACTCCCTTCCCGTGGGCGTCGAGTTTGCCATACCCTGGCTCGCCAAGAGAAGGCAGTACAGAAACAATGTGGACTCAACCTGTTCCGGCTGTATGGGATAGAGCGTTTCCTCCTCGCACGTGAACACTCGTTAATTGGCCGACAACCACTACGTATGTAGCGGACCGCAGAGCTTGGGAAATTGTTGGCGCCGGCTCCCCGCGTGGCTGGCTTACCAGCTGGTCCGAGGTTGCTGCTCACATCTCGAGGGTTGTTCTCACTCTACTCGAGTGAGCGAATACCGTTCGAATTACAAGTTATACTTGTATATTGTGTTAAATTTAGATTTAAAACTTTCGCGACTGCAGGAATTCATATTGTTTGGTTCTTTCGGTAAAGTCACGTAGATAGAAAGTAATAAAATAAGAAATAGAAACATTTACAAATTTAATGAAAACCAAAAACTCACGACGACGTTTCGATCGCAACACAAGTGGTGTTGCGATCAAAACTTCGTGAGTTTTTGTTTTTATAAAAAATATATTCTATCTACGTGACTTTACCGAAAGAACCAAAGATTATGCATATTGTGTTGTCATTGTTGTTGAACGACAAACATGCGGCCACATCACTTTGTGTTTCACACAAACATGAATTATGTTAACAATAATCACAGTATTCTATTGTTGTTTACCCTCTGGAGGGCCTCTAACAGAAATCGTTCCAGCAGTGGCATGAGTTAGCAATTGCAGGGCTGCACCTTTACCATTTCACCTTAAATATAAACGAAAATCCACTGCTCAGCACCACGACTGTCACGATTCAGTGCACAAAACTAAACACAAACTGCTGCTGCCTGGAGCATTTCAAAAGTAATAAACTTTCTTCAAATTAACCTCGTTGAGTCGGACGGCGTTTTTTTCAGAAAATAAATGTTGATCACACGTGACCAAACATTCATGCGGAACGCGTGCCTAGAAAGCTAATGAGGGATGAGCCCGGATAATGCTCAGATGGGTGAGCACCATGAACCGTACATAAAAGGTGTATGAGATGCTGTGGGTAGCAAAGAGCTGTGCAGCAAAATAACTTCTCTCCTTTACTCCTTCCACCTTCACTAACCCCGCACTGACCGGCGTGGTGAAGTATGGTCAAATAACCCTCATGGCTAAAACGGCGCAGGGAGGCCCTCAACGAGCAGATGACTGATGCGAGTGTGGCAGGAAACCAGAGTGCCTAGAAACAACCCACGCACTCCACACAGATGGGTAAGCAGCCTACTTGCTGTACTGTGGCCTACAGAGACCCCAATGGCCCTTCGTGTGGGCAACTCACGTAACAGGGTCTTCGAGTGATCCGTCAACTCTATAATTCATGAAAACTTTCAGCCCTTTTTCTATCCATCGCTCGATAAATTCCTCGCCACGCCATGGCAGTCATGGGGGTCATTTTACCACACCTCACCACGCTGGTCAGTGAAGACAAGGAGCATAGGTGGAAACCAGGACGGGTACAAGAATCACTCCTCCTAACGGATATCAGCCGCGACGAAAAAGCAGAGCACGGATCTGTCGGCTACTGAGCGTGGCGCGCTAACCGCTATGCCACCGGCCCCCGCCCACTCCTCCCGCCTTACACTAATCACGCCGTGGGTCACAATCCGAGCGGCCGCTTCGCCTCCCAACCCTAACGAGCGAGACCCCTCCCCCCCTCCCTCGTCCTCCGCTCGTCGTTAACGGCGAGAACGCCGGCGCCCGGGTCTCAGCGGGCGCCTTGGCGGTGTCCCCCGTCGGAATCTTAACGAGCCGCCTAATTGACGTCTCGGCAGCCGAGGAAGGTGACGTGTCCTGCGCACTCGAGCAACTAAATTAAACCGACGTGAAACGGGGGGCGGCGGGGATGGCGATGGGACGGGCGCAAGGGGTAAACGTTGCGTGCTCTGCGCGGTAAATTATTTTAACAAAGGGAAACTCTTAACCCGGCTCTCCTGTGATGTGGAAGTGTGCAGGGCAACCTGAAGGGTTGCGTTTCTGCGACCAATGTCAATATATATTTTTGGTTTGAGCTGTGGTGTTAACCTTGCCACATTCTCAGTATTTAACAGTGATGCTTGTTTAAATAACATGGAAAGCCAGTTATTTATGCTTAGGAGACTCTAGGCCCAGACAGGTCATAATACAGTGCAAAACCAAAGACACATTTGAGTGCACAGACGTAAATAACGATAAGAAGAGTTTCCTTCAGGAATGTCTTCACTGTGTGCCCCGAGGGTGCCACGGGAGCGAGATGTTAACTACTTCGCCTGGTATACAGGAGGTCATGGATTCGATCCCGGCCCTGATGCCTGTATATTTGGAGTTTGCATGTCTCTCTTCCCGTGGTCACGTGGATTTTTCTCCGGGTCCTCCGTTTTTTTCCCTCCACATTCAAAAACGTGCGTTTAGATTAGTTCGCTGCTATACATTTCCACATGATAAGCCACTTCTTTGAACTATCATTTGTGGCCAAGTCGCTTCTAAAAAAAGATCTATATAGCTTAGTGGGCCTCACCTGGTAAAATTATAATAGATCAAATAAAATCAAATTTGTCGCCGAGCGATTGGGCATCGGTCTGCCCAGTAAGCGGCGAAGTTGTTTTGTGGCTTCCCAATTGAGATTGAAATTTATAACGGTGTCAAAAATTTGGAGCGTGCACCACGACGCCACCCCGACTCTCCAGGTGAGTGCGCTGGACCACATGTGTGGGTCACCTGAAGTCCGGACGACCGATCACTTCAGGTACTGAGAAGAGAAGGCTCTTGCTTCTGTACCTGATGCTCTCCTGGTCCTCCTTGTCTTCCTTGATTGGCACCACCTTGATGCCACTTTTCTTGGCACGTGGGCAACCCGACAGGCTGATTGGAGAAATCATAAATTTTAACGTTAGCTGAGAAACATTATGTACTCTAACCAGCAATAAATAAATAAATTGCCACACTGACTTTATAAAACTACTTCTATTTATAGCTATGCCTGGCGGTATTTTATCTGGTATTAAAAGCGACGGCGCTTAAGGTTTTACCGATCGTGCTGCACTGCTCGCCAATGTGTTCCACGTTTCGTGCTGCGTTTTGCTCGGCACGATGTCTGACGTTTCGCTGCCACGTGCTTGGGAGTTCCAAAAAAAGATCTAATCTCCCGGCACGTGGAGCAAAACGTCGGACATCGTGCCAAACACCACGTGGCCATCAACACTGAGCAGATGCGTCAACGGAGCTATTTTAAAATGACGGTCACTGACGGTGCTTTACTCGGCGACGATCGATTCAAGCGAACGTTCCCAACCTTCTGTGCGAAGTGTAGTTGCCCGTGATGTGCCCCGAGCCATCGCAGCCCGGCGTGGGACACCTGGAGGAGGAGGGAGCGGGCGAAACAACGAATCCAATGAGACTCAAGTATTATCAGCTTCCTGCCAGCAAGCACCACGCACACGGGTTCGACTCATGCGCTCACACGTCCGCTGACAGCGGGATTTTCCACAGGCTACCCACATGTGCGTGTGTAGCCCGGTTTGTCAATCCACTGCTGGATGGGGGTGGCTCCCCACACCTTGCGGGCAATACCTCACCACGCCGGTCAGCGTGGGTTGGTAAAAGTGTGGGCGGGGGGAGGGATGCAGAACAAGAGCGGAATTTGCTGCTGTACTGCCCTCTACTTGGCCATGCACGCCGACTAAACCTGTGTGTTGCACGCACGGTGGTCACTCATAACGAGCGCTATCCAGGCTCTAACCTGCTTAGCTTCCAAGATCTGCGGGGATTCGGTGCACTCCAGGCAATTTGGTCACGAGCTTCCCGTCCGGCAGCGCGCACGTCCCATTGCTGATTTAAATAATTATTCACAAACTCGCAATGCCAAAAGCCACGTTTAATGCGCAGCATCTTGGCACGGGTTTGGCGAGCGGCGTGACTGACGTGACGTGTACAATGGAGTCACGCCGCGATCTCCACGTACCTGGGCAAAAGTGCCGTGGGGGTCTACGGTGACCGTCGCCACGCCACTCGGCATTGAGCTTCGTCACCCGGGCATCGTGTGTGCCAGGGTGATCGCGATATCGATTTTCACGAGATCAGTTTACCAAGAAGTGTTCGATTTGTTTTCTTCAACGATTAGAAAATCATTGTCATCAAGAACACTTCATAACGAGCACACTGTCAGTCACCCTGAACATATTAAAACAATTAGAAAAAAGCGCAAAAACGATGGCGTTGTCATAATTGCTTTGGCTGGAAAATTTTCAATGCGCTAATCGTAATGGACAATACCCATTCAGTTACAACTTTGATTCCTGAGTTTGTTATCTCGTTTATTTTTGGTCTGGAGATAAAAATACGAATTGCAACAAATCAAATTACGAAAATCTCAGCGGTATTTCGCTCATCGGATAATAGGATTATCGTGGATGGCACACGGCATGAGATGTGCCGTGGTGTCACCGTATCGTGGCAACCCCGAGTGTGGCTGCCGTCGCTGCGGTTAACACGACAGTGCCACCGTGTGGGTGACGATGGCTGCCAACTATTAGAAGCCGAACAGCGGTGGCGGTGCTACAGTTCAGCCTGCGTGGCCAAGTGTGCACCGCTTCAACAGAATTCTTTTTTTAAACTCGTGGCAATCGATAAATCCGTGGTTTTGATGTCTTTAGATCACCAGACGAGATAGCACGGTGCTCGAATATTCACGGTGCCGCGAATTCCGTACCGAGTAGATTAAATGTACAAATCGTTAACGTAGGTAAAAATTACCGGTACGTTACGCACACGTAAAGCCCCGCTTGTGTCAATCAACTACTGGATGAGGGTCTCCCCACCGCCTTGCGAGGTGTGACGGATAATCGACCACACTTCACCACGCTGGTCAGCGCGGGAAGGTGAAGGTGGTGTGGGGGGGCGGGGCAACTGCGGAACAGCAATGGGTTTTGCTGCGCTGCCCACACCGCCAATTACGCAGGCCTCTTGCGCCGAGTGGCAAACCCACCCAAGCACCGTCCAGGCTCAAAAATCCTGCTTAGCTCCCGACGTCTGGTGAGACCGGGCACGTCATCACGGACAGCAGTAGCGCTTTAGCAACTTGCTTTGTTCGCTTTGTCATTGTAATTTTAATGCAAGGGCTTCTCTCATGGGATGATGTTGTTGTTGTTGACTCACAGCATGTCGTATTTTGGGTCACAGTCTGTAACGCTCCTGTTTTGGTGATAGAGACAAGGTGGTGATTAACCGGCGGCCCGCTGAACACAGTCAAAAGCTCAGCACACTTACTTGAGCTCCTGCGTGCTGGAGGCCATCATATTTCTAATGCTCTTGTCCGCCAGAGGGCAGCCCGACAGACTGTAACATGGCAGGCATGCAATCGTTGGTTAAGGTTGGGTTCCAAAGAAAACAAGTATATATATATAAACCCGCTGCGCTGTAGGAACCAGGGTATTTCCTCTTGTGGTAGAACCTCGCATACGACCGCAGACGAGGACGCGCGGTCACGCGATTGCGCACGCACGCACACAACGGCACGTCCAGAGTTTAAGTTCAGCCGGGTCTGTCCGTTCGGGTCGGCGACCTCAGAACACACGTCCGTGTCCCGCACACCGCATTCCGTTGTACACCTCCCGATACGGCTGCAGCCACTGGTCACATGCCCGCTACTCCAGTCCACTAGCCAACCGGAAATTATTTCGAAGCCCCTGTGCCCCATTACCCAGGATAACTTTCGCGATCGGCTGTGGCCACTAGCTACATGCCACCCACTCCAGTAAAAGACAAGCCACAGTAGCGGCGACTACGTCCACGCAATCGCCACTCTGTACGGTCCACACTATGGACCGTACCGAGGGGGAGGAACAGCACAGAACTACATGAGAGCTCCCTCCTGAAGCCCTCACTTCAGGCAGCACATAGCGCGCTTAGCTGCGGAACACGTCGCTGTTGTCGACAACACGTCCGGGAGTAGAACAGAACCTGCCGCGGTCTAACCGTGAGCCGTAAAAATACATTCGGCGAGAAGTTAAGCTCTGGACACGTCCAACGGCTGCTGCAGGAGAGGGAAGAAAATACAAAAAAAACGCGGCGTGCGTCGCGAGTCGGCTGAGCGGTCAGCGCTTCTGAGCGTCGAAGTCGATTCCAATTTTTTTGGCATCGGCCGTTCTCGTGCGCCACGCCGTCGTTTTTAGTTTTCCCCCCCCCCCTCTGGAGCGATGACAACGCGCACATCAACCTGAGGGGGGCGGGGGCAGGGCAGGGGGGGGGGCGACCGTATCAAGGAGAATGCCGTCATGAAATGGAATGGGATGACACATCCACTTAAGCTGCGATCGCATTCGCCGGCAATGTAACAACCTCAGCACTGAAGGCACGCGGCCCGGGGTACAGCCTCGCGACCCCCCACTCGACCCTGCGCGTCCCTCCCACCCCCCCCCCCTCTCCAGCGAAATTCGCTGCTGGATTGGGGAGGGGGGGCAGTAGTCGCGGGCGATCGCGAGCATGTACCTTTGGAAGCCCAAGCATATCCGCCGGGACATTTCTACAGGGCGTAGCACATTTACGGGTCACTGTCTATCGTGTACAGGAACTGTGGATGATGGAGTTGATGATGATGGCGGAGGTGCTCACAGAACAAACGTTAACTCACCTCCGATGTGAGGCATAGTTGCCGGTCACATGACCACTGCCATCACAGCCGGGAGTTGGGCAGCTACTGGAAACAAAATATATTATCTTTTAAGTAAAAATAAAATTCGGCTTTTTTTTTTTGCGCTTTATCGCGTTAAAATTTTTCACTGTTAAGCACGAAGAGTTAACGAAGGACACGTGTGGCTTGTCACATGACCCGACGATTCACACCGTAACGGCATGCGTAAGTCTCCCCCTCATGAGCTCCAAGAACGATGGATCAAACACACCATCTCCACTTCTCGATTAAATTTCACTTTAATGTTTTTTTTACGCGGTTATTTTCCGTGGGGGGGGATGGGAATCAATAAAAAAAACGAATGTGCACGACACTCATAAAAAATTTAAGGACAAAATGCTTAAAAAGAATTACAAATGACAACGTTAAATAAATGGGCTGTACGGACATGGAAGTGTTGACGTAAGTAGGTAGGGTAGCTACCCGCTAGCGCATCTACACCTGCCACACACAGGAGCTGTGGAGATGTCCGTGGGTTTTGAATTGTGCTTCTGTTTGTAATCCATTTACGAACGTGATTTTGGTCAATGTTGCACCTCTTCTTTTGCTGCACACTGCATGCGCTCTGACCATCGTGGCCACATTAAGAGGGCCAAGTCGCTCGGTGGAGAGAGGGCGGCTCGCTAGCGGAAAGTTCCGGCATGTTGCGAGTTGATGTCCTGGTTGGGGGTTGACTCAGCCCATCATCTCTATGGGATCAATCAAATGAGTACAACTTTGTGGGGCAGTCAACAGTGGTTTTGTCCTTTGCATAGACTCGCCCCCCCTCCCACACCCTGCCATAGGAATGTGGAATTTCCATCGCTGGCTCAGGGCTGTAAACGAGAGATGAGCACCGCCTCAATGCTCAGCTGAGCAGGACATCGCTTTGATCATTGTTCAAACGTGGCAATGTATACATCTCGCAGTATCACCACATCTATGGCTTGTCGAATTCAATAGAAGTTGGAACAGGTCAGTGCCCATCAGTTGGCCTTCAGGATGCTGCTTGTTCCTCCACGGTAACGTTTCGGTCAATGTGGAGTACACGCAGTGCCAGCCGCTGGTCTCAGCCCCCGACAGGGGGACACAGAGGCACGTGCATACGAGACCGATAGGGTTGCCACCTCTGAGGTATGTAGAAAAAGATCTGGGACGTAAGCACCATGGGCAGAGGGATACCTCACAATTCCCAGAGGAGGAGAGAACCACACGTAAACGCGCCATCTTTACTGTGGCAATGTTACACAACTGACAAAAAAACTGGAACTTTTAGCATTCCAGAAGACTTAAACAGATTTCCCTGGGCAGCGGCTACCTGAACAAAAAGAATGTTCCTGGGAAAACCAGGACAGGTGGCAACCCCTGTGACCGACTAGACTCCTTGACTTCACTCTCAAATTACGTCTGGGACCCCCGTCAGAAAGGGCTCCTCTCGTCCAAGGAGGCGGCAACTGACCGTTATTGATAATAACAATGACAATAAACGCATCAATTCAAAACCCGGCGTAGATCTGCTTGGGCTGTCCCGTGAATTTCTGCGCCTGACCATCTCCAGGGACGGTCGGGGAAGTCTGGGGGAGCCCAGGGCCACGTGGCCCCGGTGGTGGCCTGGAGACGGCATGAGTCCTCGATAGGTCCATGCAGTTCGGGGAAGACGGTGATGACGATGGTGGGGGAGCAGCGGGGGAGCAGCGGGGTTGGGGGGCGGGGTGGGGCAGGGGGCGACCACATCCCTTCCAGGCAAGAAACAAAGATACCCCGCGCGCTAGCCAACTCCGTTTTGTTTCGAACAACAAAATATCCAAGCCACGTGGATGCAATTGCGCTCTGATGGGGGGGGGGGTTTCGTTTATCGAGTTTTGCCTGAAGTTTCGTCGCCGCAGCACCGACAGTTGGGTTTACGACTAAAGTTGTGCACACTATTTGTGTTTTCTCGGCAGCGTAATTGGTTCGGCACCAGCACGGCCAATCTCCCACACACAAGTTTCGTTTATTCCGTGAATATAGATTTGACCAGGGAGTCTTAAAGAGTACGTGAAGAGGAAATAACAAATCAATGCCACTCGATAATCTGGAGTGCCGGTATTTTCGTGGGACTCTTCTTGCACGTACAGAGTTTCGGGACTGTCCCCGCGGGGGAGAGATTTCTTTCGGCGAGTCGTGCGGAGTTTGGGAGGGGCGGGGGGAGTTCGATCGATCGATCTCGAGTCTGGGAGGGACTGAGGCCACAAGCATGGAGACGATGAGTACGTGTGGTGGTGGTGGCAACAGAGAGGACACAGAGATGCCAGGCTGGCTCCCCCCTCCCCCACCCCGGTGCCACTCACGCCAGTAGCTCCTTGCGCGCCTCCTTGGCTAGGCCGCACTTGGCCTTGGGGCTGGGCGTGGTGACGTCGCCGGGGTAACGCCGCTCCTCCACCAGCTCCTCGGCGATCACCATTGCATCCTCCTCCTGAACGCGGCACAAACGCACAAACGGTTTGATTGCAGGGCGGTCGGACGGTTACAATGGCGTGATGGCAGCATGATTTCAGGGCAGGGTGGTTTGTTTAACGGCTTGCTCGTCTCAGAGCGGGTCGGTTTGCCGGTGCGGCGTTCGTCCTGTGGGGCCACTGTCGGCGGGGCTCACCTCGGCGGGCGCGGCGTCGTCCCGCTCGTCGTCCCCGCCGCCCCGGCACTTGGTGTAGTCGAGCGGAGAGTCCCACGGGGGCTGGGCTTCGGCCTCTGTGGTGGGGGGGCGGGGGGACGGGTCGGGGGGGACCTCCCCCCGGGCGCCGTACCCCTGCTGCTGGTCTCCGGGCGGCGCCGGACTGCTCGCGCCGCTCGACGTCTCGGCGCCGACGCGCTTCTTCATACTCAGGTCCAGCGTGCCGTTCTCGTCCACCTCCACCGCCACGCCGCTCTGCGTCGCCACGGAGGAGAGGGGCGGACGGGGGCAGGAGAGCGCATCTCTCACCGACGATCGGCACACGGGAGCAAAGCCGAAGGCGGCGAGAACCCTCGTGGAGCCAGCCTAGCGTCCTTGGATCCATGTAACCGGAGTCGCGTTTCTCACGACTCTTTCCCGTCGCAGCAGCCTCCGCTGAGATACTCCACGCAGAGTTCAGAGGTGGCAAGCTACATCACGTTCTAAGCACTTTCCCACTATGCCATGAATAATTCTACATGTAGATTTGTTTTATATTTTACAGCCCTTGCTATTTCACCGCTGCCCGAAGGCCTCCCCATGCCGTGTCGGTCGTGGGGGGTGAGATGGGGCAGCGGGTTTAACCGCGCTTCGCCACTCTTTATCGTCATAAGTTGAAGACGTTGGCGACAGCTTTGCGACAATCGATTTTCAACGACGCGGCCCGACCCGCAAAATCCCACTTGGGATACAGATCTCCGTCTCCGTGCGTGGGCGCGTCAGGTGGGGGTTGGTGTGGGTGCGGGGTGAGGGGTGCGGGTGCGGGGTGGGGGCTCCGTGCCGTGCGTGCACACCGTGAGAGCGCCGCGCTGCAGCGCCAGGCTCTGCGTGGCTTCCCGGCACCGCGTCGACAGGTTGAGGATGGCGGTGGCGGCGATGTGAGCCGCCTCGGCGTCCTGCGTCAGGTCGTAGGAGCTCTGGTGGCTCGGGCTGCTCGGGTAGCTCCCCATGGGGCTGCCGCTCTTGCGGAAGCTCTTCCCTGCGGCGCGGGAGAGGGGAACGTCGTCGTCGTCGCGACCCCAATGTCGGCCCTCCAGGGGTGGGGGGTGGCAATGTGCCTTGGGCCTCACGCAAAGGAGGGCCCCTCCGTGCCGGGCCTGCCCCAGGCCTCCAGGGTGGCCCTGGTTGGTCCGCCCATCATGCCTCAGAGATATCTCATGAGGTAGTCTTTACTGACTTAGTCTGACTGGTGCTTGTCGAAAATAAAACGGGTCACAGTTGTCTCTTTGGAAAGGTACACGGGGACACGTGCACACATAATAATACCAATAAAGAGCGTATTGTTTAGGCCATGTAATAGTCTGCCCGAATTTATAATTGCAAGACCCGAAAAATCCAGCAGAAGATAAATCATCACGTGAACCAGTGGGGGGGTGGGGGCCCCTCTCACCGGGTGCCTTGGGGTCCCCCTTGTGCACCGAGGAGGCGGCGGCGGCGGCGACGACGACGCTGCCGTCCGCGTGCTTGAAGGCGGCGGCGGCGTGCTTGTACGCGTCGCAGCCCGACGGGGAGTCGTAGCCGGGCCGCGAGTACTTCTCGAGCTCGCGCGCCAGGTTGGAGCGCGGCGTCGTGGGCGACACGTTGGGCTTCTGGCCGTACTCGGGGATCTCCAGTTGCTTCACGAAGCACATGGGCCTGCACGCACGCCGCCGGGGACACACCACGCATCGCGATTATCGTCGCCATCACCACTTGTTACGTGTACCGCTTTCACAAGCGATGTGATTCATAATCAGTTTCTTTTGGGTTAGATCACTGTGTAGGTATGGTTAAAATTTACATTATACCTACAAGATGTAAGCCAAGAGAAAATGTGACTATGCATCAAATCGTGATGATGCCAGTCCAGATGGCCTAACATCGCAGAATCTTACAACAGGCATGCACACGCGTGCACACACGCACGTAGACACACACATGCATGATACGTGCACACACACGCAACATGCACGGCACACAACATGGAGACGAAGCACACACAGCAATGCAACGCATTCAGTACGTTCACGTAGGCAGCGTACGAACGCTGTAACGAGCCATCAACACCACCTTTATCTCTACATGTACCGTTAAAAAAAATCACTACAAAAAGCCTAAGCTGCCATTTCAGTTTTAAATACAGAACACATACAAAAGTGTACGCTGAAAAACATCACTTAGAGAACATCCGTTCTAAAAGTCCAAAAGCTCACAATGGCAGCAATTTTGACCGAGTGAAACAATTCTGAATCTCAGTGTTGGGAACCAGGACCTGGAGGCTCATTATCACCTACATTGCTCTCCGATGTGTTTTCGGCTCGTACCGCGTGTTGTTCGGCGCGAAGTCCAACGTTTCGCTCCACGTGCTGGGACACATGCATAATAATACACAAGGATGTGACGGTGACGGCGACAATGATCGAACACGTTTGGCACGACGTCACGGCGCGCGACGCCGCGACGGTCCAACGTTTCGGTTCACGCGCCGCGAGCGAAACGTCGGACATCGTGCCGGTCGATGCGCGGCGCAACCGGCGAGCGCACCGGAGAGAGCTGACACGTGCAGCACGAGAGTGCGAACCTCTCAATCCATCGCCACGCTCTGCGTGCTGCGGTTTTTGCGTTAAACATTTCCCCGCCTTCTTGGTTCTTTCGGTAAAGTCACATAGAAGGAAAATAATAAAAATAAAACATTATTGTTTTATTTTTATTATTTTATTATTTTCCTTCTACGTGACTTTACCGAAAGAACCAAGAAGATGAATCCCTGCAGTCACAAAAGCTTTACATCGAAACATTTCCCCGCCCTTTAGACGGGAGTGCTCTCGCCAATAACATCGAGCAACCTCAGTCAGCATTTGTTTCCGCAAGCCTGGCTCTGCTGATGAGACCCGGAAGGTCCAAACGTTTGCAGAGTTTGCTTGGTTAAACAAATGCTGCTGCTGCTGCTGCTGAATAATATTAGTCTGGCAAGCCAATAATAGACCAATGGGCTAAACCAAATGAGATGTATATTTGTAAATACGCAAAAGCCAGAACAGTAAAAATCATTATTATTATTATTATTAGTTGTATATAGTGGCAATCATGCGAAATGCATCTCAAAAGGCTTAACATTTGAACCCACCATGCAAACCACTTAAAATCCCCCCAAAAATACATAATGAAAGAGGAACGGGAGCACCACAGATAAACAAAAACAAAACACGACCAAGAGCACGGAGGTGGAGGGAGCACGGACCACGTGGGGTAATACAACTCGAGCACTCAAACTACCGACAGCCAAGAGAGTCCAGAGGACAATGAAATCGAAAATGGATTTCATAGAGCGTTAGGCATGCAAATAGTAACTGCAGCAACTGAACATGACGATGATGTCTCAGCTACAGTGGTGCAGTGGCACAGCCCATGCCGGCAAACTGCCAGGTGTGCGGCAAACATTTGCTGGCAACCCAGGCCACCAAAACTTAATAATGCTACCGACACGTCTGCTTGAGTAAAACAAAAGCGTGCGGTCGATGAATTATTGATACGCCCGGGAGTAAGTTTAAAAACCAAAGGATGGATTTCTCAGCTCTTGTCGGAACATTCATGCCATGCACAGTGCACGCTTCCACACGTAACGTAAAGATAAATTACGCGCCGTCTGCTCCGCGGTGGATGATAAAGATACCGTGTAGGCTACGTGTTGCTTGCACTGAACAGCAGTCCACGAATTAAGACAACCTCGTAGTGAAAATCTCGAAAATCATTTTTAATTATCTTTACGAAGTGCTATTTTGACGTTAACTATCTATAGTTTTATATAATGTGGATTATTTATGGAAAACTCAAGGGATTGAGTCACCATCTCCGTCCAAGGGTGGATGAAAAATTCAGTCCGTCCAAGTACGCCCGATACCACGGCGGTATGTTATGAGCATTACTCCCGTATCAAGAAAGGTGGACAAATGATTTCGATTTGAATTCGAGAATTCCTAATTGGTTGACATATTACACCCAAGTGAACAGTCACTTGATGGTTATATTAATAATCACCCACATCTTTAAAGTATCTGATATAAATCTTGACTTAAAGCTTTCCTGGCTGCAGGAATTCATATTCTTTGGGTCTTTCGGTAAAGTCACGTAGATAGGTTCAAAGAAAATAACCAAAAACTACGACGTTTCAATCGCAACAAAAGCAATGAAGACAGCTTGTGTTGCGATCGAAACGTCGTAGTTTTTTGTTATTTTTTTTGAACCTATCTACGTGACTATACCGAAAGACCCAAAAAATAGTATCTGATATTTACATCTAAAATCAAGAAACATCTTAGACTTTCATTAGGGTGCCCTGGTCCACATTAAAGCAACCCAAAAAAAGCGCCTGAACTGCATAAAAGGTGATCAATATTCATTTAAGATATTAAACATCTAATGAGCATAGTTTTATCATTTAGGGACAGTAATTACTTTCTTATTTTTTGTTCACAGCGAGGTATGGTGGATCTTAAAGATCAATTAATCAAAACTATTAACTTCTATGGCAGCCTGGATCACGGAGTGCACCCTTTGATTTTTTTGTCCAAATTTGTTTTAATTTTTCCCCAACGATATCCCAATTGCGCCGTCACGGCCACGTCCTGAGATAAAGTAACCACTGGCGACTCCCGCAGCGCAGTGCAACCCTTCGTGTGAGGCAGCGGCCCACAGAAGCGGAGATCACGGGGCTACCTCCGAGATCCCTACTTCAAGTGACCTCTAGTCGACAGAGCAGGGGGAGGGGGGGGGGGGCGAGATGGTTGTGGGGGGGGGCATGAGAACCCACCGGAGCACACGGTCTGAGGCCGTGGGGCTGAGACTCTTTGGGGGGTCCCCGTTGGAATGCCTCTCCTGGGTCTTGTTCAACTTCCTCGCTGCCGCGATGGGACACCCGGACAGGCTGCGGGCGGCACACACGAAGGCACACGCACACACAGAGGCAAACACTTGTATGTCACCACAGTGCTTCGTGCCAGGCTGGGTGCACTTTAAGGCCATGTGAAGTGCTGAAGGCTCGCTGCCAGGTTGACTGGCTGGCACGGCTGGAAAATGCATCGCCCGTGCTCCCCGCTGTGCCAACTTTCTACGTTTTAATATAAACGTAAAGACAATATGAAATAACAGATCTGTGAGCTATCTAGATTTAACGTTTTCGTGACTGCAGGGATCCATACTCTTTGGTTCTTTCGGTAAAGTCGTGTAGGAATGAAATAAAATAAAATTAATTAAATCACAGTGATATAATTTATTTTATTTTATACCTACGTGACTTTATCAAAAGAACCAACGAGTACATCTGTGAGCTGCTGAAAAATACACGCAGTGCTGCACATTCTCCACTGCATGGTATTCATCAAAGTTTGAACTTTTATTTTGTTTATCTGTCATCAGAAGACCAAAAACACGGTACTAATAAACCGCAAACTACTGCAGTGTGAACGGTTTCTCGGTGACAGTGATGAATTGTAATAAATCATCATAATTACTATATTTTTTTGAAACGTGTAACTTTGTTGCTTAGATATGACACATTACTAAAACTGCCTTTAAAAGAAGAATCACAAACATAAGAACTGTGAACAGCAACAGTCGTTAGTAATTAACTAAAAGCCAAACAGTTTTTTCCTTAAATTTTTTGTCATTCATCTCCCAAACTGATCCCGATCATGCGATTAGTATGTATGTTGAACTTCTTTTGCACCGTACGTAGCCAACCGAGGTGCTATCGGTGTCGTGGCTTAGACAAAGAATCCACTCGCATTTCGTGCAGAGCAGTGCAACTTTGAGATGTACACACTGCAGAGGGCAGCACATCCCCCACACAAGAGGCATGTTCATCACACGACAGTGAAACCCATCGCCATTCATTCTCAAAGCAAAGAATTTAGCCAAATTAATTAAGGGACCAAATTTTACACGACGAGTTTTTCCGTCCAATGATTGATGACCGGGCTGAGACAACACTCGAGATCGCGGTTTGTACCACGGGCCTGGCTTGAACCCAGGATTCAGAAGGTTCCGGCTCAACACTCTGACCTCTGAGCCACTCTGCCGCCCCTTTATGCTGCCATGTAAATGAGGCACGGCTATGTCAGCGGCATTATCCCGCTCAATAGGCGTGTGAATGAGTGGCTATTCAGGCACTTCAAGTGAAGCTGACCTCAGAGCCGCGTGGTGGTGGTGGTGGCAGTGTGGTAGCGGTGATGTGGCCGTGGTGTGATGGCGTGGTGGCGTGGCGGCAAGCGGCGATGGTGTGGTGGCGGTGGTGTGGCGGGGGCGGTGGTGTGGTGGCGGTGGTGTGGTGGTGGTGTTGTGACGATATTGGTGGCGGTGGTGTGGCGGTGGTGGTGATGTGCTGGTGATGTGCTGGTGGTGTTGTGACGGCGGTGACGGCGACGCACCTGCGGTGTGAGTTCCGGTTGCTGTTGACGTGGCCCTTGCCGGTGCACCCCGGCGTGGGGCACTTGAGGGTGCTCTCGTGCATGGCCAGGACTGCGGCGCACGGCGACGCACAGACAGACACGCGATCCATCTTACCGAGGGGCCTGGTCACAGCGGCAGCCCAACTCACCGACCGACAGTCAAGTCGGTGTGACGCGACTACTGTGGTGGTGGTGGTGCCAGCCCGCTGGCGGCACGGGCAAGAAGCTACAGCTGAGTGTGTCACACAGTGGCAGCCGGCTGATAGGGCCCTGTAGGGTCGGGCCCCACGAGTGAAAAAAAAACATTCACTATTATTACCCCCCCTACCCTTTCTCCCCACCCCTCCCCACCATCCCCCCCACTGATTTCCATGCCATATAGATCAATAAGTTTACCAACCGGCCGCCACTCGCGTCACATGACCACAAACATATGCTGAACAAGCTGCATTACTTGCTAATATCACAGTCACGTGAAATTCTGAATATCTAAGAGACTAATTGCAATTGACATGCATTGTAATTGTGTTAAAATAATGAGATCCAAGTTGATATTTGGTGCACACCCGTTTTCTCCGTGAATCCGTAACACCTTGAGCTACTTGGAAGGGCGGCCCCTGCGCTTTCGCTTGGCTTCCTTTTACCCGAAGAGTGACTCCGCCACCCTTACTAGGGCGGAGCGCACGCCGCAATTCCACATCCGTACGGCGGAGGCTTGCCTCTCCACGGGACAACGGCTCGTGCAATTTCCCCAACGGCGAGGCGAATAATGGATCACGGGGACAGCGCTCGTGCTTGGAGCGCGCCCCGTCGCCCCGCCGGCGCGTGCGCAGTGCGACGCTCACTCTCGGGGGGAACGCGGTCCTTGCGGGGGCAGCCCGACAGGCTGCGGTGGTGCGGGTACAGCCCGGTCACGTGACCCGTGCCGTCACAACCAGGGGTCGGGCACTTGCTCTCCTTCTTCTCCACCCGCGGTTCTGTCATGGTCGGTGGGGGGGAGCGAGGGGGGGTGGGTGGGGGGGGCAAGGGGTGGAAGGGTTAAGGGGGGGAGGGCAGCACGTGCGAGTAGAGCTGCCGCGAAGTAATTATTTGACAATGCGATGTGAATTTTAGATAACACGTCGGAGAGTTAAAGAAGCGGGTAGTCTCAAGCACAGGCGAGCTTTCCAACTCTGTGTCGGCACGTTTGTTGTGCGCAAGCTGTGGTCCGCTAGGCCATGGGAAGCGGTCCGTAGAAGCGATGCAGATGCCATGATATAGAGTCGTCATTTTGAACGACGTATTATTGGAGGAAACCCATGTAAAACGGGGGAAGAAACATACAAACTCCACACAGAAAAGGTGTGCCCAGGTCAGGAATCGAATCCAGGTTCACAGCCTGCCGCACAAGTATGAGTTCACGTACAGGAGCGAGATGGATGGGAGCAGCACTGGACTTTGGAAGTCGGTGATGGCGTGGGGTGGTGAAGAGGCAATGTATGATGATGGCAATGATGATGATGACGATATTGACCCACGCACAACAATCTCAAATGCACCTGGATGCAATGCACTGAGACCAGCGTGGTTTTATTCCTTACGGCAGTGCTCGTCAAGACGTCGTCGGATCGAAATCGGAAAAAAAGGTGATTAGCGTACACGTTCGTCATCGGAATGGGAAAGGGTTCATTGATCTTGGGTGGATAATGGGCTGGAACAATACGGGAATCCAGACACCAGAATACCCCATGTCCTGTGGTATAAGCATGTTACAGTGCTCCGCTTTAAATTCAACAGAAGGGAAACTTCTGCTTGAAGGCTTCCAAAGCAATCAGCTGCTGGTCCTTCTCATAATTACAGAGACACAACCCCACAGTCCCCCCCCCCTTAAAGAATGTTAACCGGCTGAGTAACCCCTCGTACATTCGGGAATGAGGTCAAGACGTGTTGGTTTTTATAATACACAGCAGCCTCAAGCGGTGACCTTCGCAGCACGGGCAGCTGCTACGCAATCACTGGGAGGGGGGAGGAGGGGAGGGGGGGAAGGGGGGCCCTTCGTGGCTCACAGCAAGAAGGACCTGGGTTCGATTCCCGACTCGGGTGCCTTTCTATTATTATTTATGTTATTTTATTTTTTATTTTTTACCTACGTGACTTTACCGAAAAAACCTAAGAGTGTTTCTATGAGAAGTTTGTGTGTTTTCTCTCCCCCTGTTTTCCATGGGTTTCACCGATTTCCTCCCATAGCTGAAAATCAGCGATACAATGTAACCGGTATTGCCTCAAAGCATCCCAATGCTAAGAAAATCACCTGCAAATTACTCAAATGGGATCACACACACACAGCAGCAGTGACAAACTGGACAGGGTTCTACTGAAAGACAGCCTGGAGACTCATTGGAGGCTTTTCTGGGTAAATAAGATGAATAATAATAATGCAACTTTAAAAGATAACACCGAAATATCATGGCAAGACCATCTCCCAATGCCGCTACAGCGGAGAACTGCATGTAAACACATCGTCTCGAGCGCCGTGTTCGTATTATTACTACGCGGCTGACTAATATTGGGAATTTATCATCGCGGGAAGAGTTACGGATTGCTCAGGATGGTTAACAAAACAGGTGCAAACCCCAAATACGGACGGTGAGACAAATGACAGCAGAAACGTTGCTCCGATTGTGTGTGCGGTGGGGAGCGGTGATGTCGCGGTTAGCGCGCTGCGCTACAAACCCGAGGACACAAGTTCGATTCGTGCTCACAGACAACACCAGTGACGATTATCTGAACTGGTCTTGGGTCTCCCCTAAGTCGACTCAGCCTCAAATGAGTACCTGGTGCGGTGTATAAACATCGCCACTGGGGAGACAATAGCGGCCGGGCGTGGTGCTGGCCACCCAGCCCTCATGTGCTGTACCGGCCTTCATAGGTGCTCACTAACAGCACTTGCCCCAACAGTCTGTTAAGGCTATACAGGGGATCTTTGTCTTTTTTGTGCAATCGCTCAGTCGTGCAGAACACATCCTATCCATTACCACCACACTCAAAAACACATCGGGGCAGCACCTCGCAATCATTTATACGACAGTCTCTCAGGGAGATTACGTCATTTTCCAGCGGCTTAGAGAGGCCGACGGGCAAAACGTCGCCCCCAAGTTACGGAACGCGTTTCAAAACTGAATTACTTGGGGCAGAAAGCGCCAACGGAAGACGACGATCGTGGCTGCTCCCCGGGTCACCGCGAGAGGCTTGATCGTTCGAAACGATTTGAGCGCCATTTTTAGAGCGGTGCCCTTTGAAAGCGCGGCGAGAGCGGCGACAACGGCGGCCCCCGGGGGCCGTGGCCCAGCTCGCGACGAGGTGAGCGGGATGCAGGAGCGGCGCTCCGCGCTCATTTGGCGATGGGCCGCCCGCCTCAAGGACGACCGCTCAGCGAGAGCAGGCCGAGGCGCACGGCCGTCGCCCGTCAAGGATTGGTGGAGCTCCCTCGCCGTGGGAGTCGAGCTCAACGTCTCCCGGCTCGCCACGAGGCTATGATGGCAGTGTAGCAAAGCAAGTGGGTTAATGTCCACGTGGTCTCTCTGAACGGGGATCGAGGGTTATCCCCCATCGCGTGCATGTTTTTTTTTCCACGTATAAAAAAAAAACTTCAAGAATGAAGTTGGTCAAACATCTCAGTATGGAAAGTATACTAGAGCTTGGTCATGCATTGTTTCAAGTTCCGTGCGGGAAAGATCGAATCGGACCGGATGACCTCGGGATCACAAGCCCCAGTCATACTGAGTCTCAAGGATCATTTTCAGGAGGCTCCTGCCAGGCTAGTGCAGAAGGCGGCAAACATCGCTGTGTTGTTTCCAAAATGATACATGTGCGAGTCGTTCTCCTAATTTGGCTCTGACCGAAAAAGTCAAAACTCGGGGACAATTGGTGAATCAATGCAGCTAGCCGTGGTAACCTCTCTCCGCCGTGGTAACCTCTCTTCACCATGGTAACCTCTCTTCACCGTGGTAACCTCTCTCCACCATGGTAATCTCTCTTCACCATGGTAACCTCTCTTCACCATGGTAACCACTCTTCACCATGGCAACCTCTCTTCACCATGGTAACCACTCTTCACCATGGCAACCTCTCTTCACCATGGTAAACTCTCTTCACCATGGTAACCTCTCTTCACCGCCACGTTCCTCCCCACTCGCAGCCACAGCCAAGCACCGTAATATTCTCAACAACGCCAATAAACGTGCGGGCCCAGGGTTTCATATCGCCTGCGCGAGGGATTCGCCACGGGGGCCGAATCCATCACGGCGAGACTTGTGTTTACACCGCGCCGAGCGTCATTCGTCACGGCGGCCGCGTGCCGCTCCGGCGTCGGCGGAGAGCGTCTCCGGGAGGGATTGAACGGCGCGGGTTCACGCGGGGGCAGCCAAACGGTGCCCGCGCGTCACTGCTGCCCCGGGGTTGCCACCTATCTTGGTTTTCCCAGGGATCGTTCTCTCGCAAAGACCCATTCTCTTTGGTTTTTCGGTAAAGGCACGTAGGTAAAAATAAAATAAATAAAATCACGACGTTTCGGGCGCAACACAAGCGTCTGTCTTCAGGTGGAGACAAAACACAGCGAAAGAACAATATAGTAGGGTAGTGTATTGTGGAGTGTATAATAGTGTAATGTATAGTAGTCTATGGTAGTGTAGTGTATAGTGTAGTGTAGAGTATAGTAGTGTAGTGTATTGTGGAGTGTATAATAGTGTAATGTATAGTAGTCTATGGTAGTGTAGTGTATAGTGTAGAGTATAGTAATGTAGTGTATTGGTGATTTAATTTAGTTGTTTTCATTTGCATATTATTTTTATTTTCACCTACGTGACTTTACTGAAAAACCAAAGAGTCTGGATCCTTGCAGCCACGAAAACTTAAAATCTCGAATCGGCTTAACTGAGCTTTCTAATTAACCAGCTCAACCTCCGCCGTCCACCCCCTGCATCACAAAGCTTTAGTTTGAACTTCATGACCACTTCCCAGCCCACACCCTGCCCCCACACTCACACTGGCTCCCCCCTTCCCCTATCCCCCCCCACAGCTATATAATCTCTCGTCACAACCATCTCTTAGCCATAATTAAGCGGTTGTTCTTTCGCTGTGTTTTGTCCCCACCTGAAGACGGACGCTTGTGTTGCGCCCGAAACGTCGTGATTTAATTTAGTTGTTTTTATTTTTTATTTATTTTATTTTTATCTACGTGCCTTTACCGAAAAAACCAAAGAGTACACATGCTCTCCCGGGGAATCTTCCCGGGATGTTAAAAGTCAAGATTTTTTCACGTATCGGCGGCGTAACAGTAGTGGCGGTAATAATAACAATACTACACCACTCAAGACGATGCATATGCACGGAGTTCTCCCCTCTTTCCTCTCCTGTGAGATATTCATCCTCCCCTGATGGCTCCCGGTTTATTTTGCAGCGCGGCGGTGGCGACCGTGGCGTCGACCACGTTGTGCGGCGCGTGCTCCGGTGACGTCGCAGCTCACGGCCGCCGACGTGAATTAGCCCCCTGCCCCCCCTCCCTGTCCCTGCCCCCCCTCCCTGCCCCCTATCACCGCCCCCCCTCCCTGCCCCCTATCCCCGCCCTCCGCCCCGGCTCGTTATTAATGAGCGCGTCGCCGCGGTGTGGGGACCCTCGTGCTCGGTGAGGCGGTGATTTACGGCCACAATTCGGAAACACCGCAGATTTCGGTTGTCGCGTGCGAACGACGAACCACGGGGATGAATACGCGTGAATATAAATATACGGTTGTATTTTATTTCACCTTGTTTAACCAGGAGAGCCACCCTGAGTGGGAAGACTCTTTTTCAAGCGACTCCTGAATTCGGATGCTTTGCTAACACCAATTACACCGAATGTTTTGGACCGCTGGCAGGAAACTGGAGAGCCCAGAAGGAAACCCACGTAAAACAGGGGAGGGGGCTGGGGGAACATACAAACTCCACGCAGAAAAGTGTGCCTAGGTCGGAAATGGAACCCAGGTCCACTGCGTCAGCCTGCTGCCCAAGGATCAGGATGAGTGCAAGTACAGGAGTGAGATGGATGGGAGCAGGACTGGACTTGAAAAGTTGGTGACAGCGTGGGGAGGTGGACAGTCGATGGCGATGATGATGATTATGGCAATGATGCTGATATAGACCCATGCCCCAAGATGCACTGCACCGAGACCAGCGTGGTTTTGTACTCGACGTCTGCGATAGTCAAGACAGATCGTCGTGCAGCTCGTCACTGCTGCAACAGAATCACTGATTGGATGGCCAAGAGATTCACTCACTCACACAGAGTGACTCACTCACACAGAGTGACTCACTCAATCCATTCTACTGAAGATGAAAGAAGAGATGTAGTGAGGTGGGAGAAGACAGCGGTAGTCGTGACTTTTATGTTAATTGAAAGTTTATGCCGATTGGGCTCCGAAATCGATCCAACAAAGTGATGAATCCACTTCCCCTTGAAGCTGCCCGCAGCCCTAAGCGTGACGGTCAATCGCCTTACATCAGCGGCCACCCCTGGCTGAACGTGTCTCCATAGAAACGGCGATACCTTTCGAGATGCAGCATGGCCCCGTGTAGGCTGTCACGGTGCCGAGATGTTAACTACCTCGCCTGGTATACAAGCGGATTCGTGGGTTCGATCCCGACCCCGTAATCGCGTGAAATTTTCTCCGGGTCCTCCGGTTTTTCCCCTCCACATTTAGAATCAACATCACACGTTCTCACTATAAATATTTCCACGTCATAAGCCACTTCATTTGTCGCCATGTCGCTTCTGAAAAAGAGTTACATAGCTCAGTGAGCCTTACCTGGTCAAATAAAAATAATTTAGTTAAAGGCAGTGACTGCGACCTGGAAAAGAGTGAGTCTCCACCGGCTGGGTCCGCCGTACCTTTACCTTTGGGGCACGACTGCTTCTTGCCGTCGACCTCAGGGGCCCTTGCCTCCCCGGTCGGCGATGACGACGGTCGCGGCCGCGGCGGCCGCGGCGGCACGAGCGGCCTCCTTGGCCTGCTTCTCCTCGAGCACGCGCGCCCGCTCCGCGTCCAACGCGATGGCCTTCTCCAGGAGGCTCAGGTTGCCCCTCACCATGTCGAAGGCCTCCGAGCGGTCCGAGCCGTCCGACTTGACCGACGCGCCGTCCTCGTAGTCCTCGTGGCCCGGGCCGGCGGGCTCCGTGCAGCGGCGTGCGTACGCGGCCCTCGCCTCCTCCTCCTCCTCTTCCTCCTCCTCTTCCTCCTCCTCCTCTTCCTCCTCCTCCTCCTCCTCTTCCTCGTCGTCGTCGTCTTCGTCGTCCTCGTCCTCGTCGTCGTGCCCGCGTCCCGTCAGGTGCTGCCCGGGCTTCACCTCGCACACGAGGCCGCCCTCGGGCTTCGGCGCCGCCGGCGCGTCGGCGTGCCGCCGGGGCGACGCGCCCCCTCCGGCCGGCGTCAGCGGCGAGCGGCGGGGGCCCCGGCCGTCGAGGAGGTCGCTCGGTGGCTGCGCGACGCCGAAACGCGCCGCCGCCGCGGCGCCGCCGCCGCCGCGGCACTCGAAACGGCCGCCGCGGTTCTTGAGCGGGTCGGCGAACGCGCGAGCGCTTTTGGCGTCGCCGTCCGACGAGCGGCCGGAACGCTGTAGCGCGGTTGCCTCGGCGGCGGCCGGAGCGGCGGCGGCGGCGGAGTCCGGACAGCAGAGGGCCGGGCGGTCGTCGGCGGCGCCGGCGCGGTCCGGCGCGGCGACGGCGCCGTTGGGACCGAAGGCGGCCTGGTCGGCGCCGCCCTCGCGCGCCGCGAGCCGCGAGCTCCCGTCGCGCGGCGCCATCCCGCCGGGCGGGGGAGGGGCGCACGCCATGCTCCCGGCCGCGATGTTGCCCAGGTTGAGGAGGGAGTTGGCCACGATCTCGTCGTAGTCCTCCACGGCCTTGCCCTCCGAATCGGTCCACGCGCCGCCGCAGGCGTTCGCCTCGCCCACTGCCCAAAACGGAAACGAGGAGCGCGGCCGTTGGCGGGGGCGGCTCGGCACCGTGCGCTCGGAAAACTCCCACAGCCGCGGAATAACGCCCGACGCTGCCCTCGCATTCGTGAAGTTTGCAGTTCGTAGTAACAGAGCACAGGTCAGAATCAAGGTTAAGTTCACGTCCGGGTTCGGGGTCAATTCAGCTCACACTCCCTTGAGGGTCAATGAATGCAAAAGCACCGATTGTGCTCGAGAACCAGCAACACCAGCAGCAGCAGGAGCTGCCGGTGCTGCTTTATCATCGAGGGCGGAGGTCAACTGCTCATTACAGTTCCTAAAGCTTTTAGAACGGGGAGCAAAACGTCAGATATCACATCAAAGCACCGTACAGCAACCGCGGAAACCTACGCAGTGAAACTGGAACCGTTCTACTGGAAGTCGCCGCGTCAAGGCGCCGGCGACGGCGGTGCCGTGCGTCGCGAGCAAAGGGTACCTGGAGCGTCGCGGGCGACGGCGGCGGCGGCAGCAGAGGAGGAGGAGGAAGAGGTGGAGCAGCAGGAGGAGGAGGAGCGCAGGTCGTCCCGTGAGCACCCCCTCTCGGGCAGCAGCGCCGCGTGCCCCGGCTCCGCGAGATCCCTTCTCGCCCACGAGTCCACCCGGTGCGGTCGGCCTCCCTCTTTGACCTGGGCCGTCGTTTCGCCCACCTCGTTGGCATTTCCCTCTTGATGCTGCTGTTGCGACATGGGTCTCGTGTCACCCTGGGGTGAGCCCTCCGAGGACAACCTCTTCACGGGCGGCTCGTCCTCGTCCGTCTCTTCCCCCTTCCTCCGCTTGGCCAAGGGGCAGCCATACGCACTGCGGGCAGGAAGCATCGGTTTAAACACAAGTCTTCTTAGATAAACGCCTAGGTTTTCACGGACTATGTTACGACTCACCATTGATTTTTTGATCAGGCCACGTAAGATCTTCCACCACCCAAGATTCAGGAACTCAAAATCTGAATTCCTTGATCTTATTCTGACTTCCTGAATCTTGTCCAGAATATGCTTGGTGGAGTTTCAAGCAAAACTTCGCTCGTCTTAACGCTATGTTTGGCTGTGAAAATTGTCGTTCGCCTTACCGTTAAAGTGAACCGTGACAATAATTTGTGTGTTAAAACGCGTGCACGTTACATGTGGCTGTTTTATTAGCGTGGCTATGTCAGACGGTGCAGGGTCTTACGAGACACATATTTGGCCAGATCATTGTGGCTGAACTCAAAAATCAATCACGAGTCTATTTATTCTTCTACAACGGCAGCAAAAAAAAAATCGAAGTTGAGAAGCACAGAGCAATACCGCAGTGGCCCGAAGGCACTGCACTGCAAAATCGCCGTTCCCAACCACAACATCAAAATATTCTCCACCGCTGTTTCACTCTTATCTGTTTTTAATGGTCAGTGAACATCGTCATCATCAGCAGCAGCCGCCATGGTCAATTCACTGCCAGGTGAAGGCCTGCCCAAAGCCGTCACCACCTCTCACGATCCTGCGAATGTAAACACCAACAGGCGCCCGAACTAATTTCATCGTTCCATCTCCTTCGGCGGACGTCCACTTAGGACACGTTCCGTTCCTTGCATGCAACTCCCGTAATTGTCTCGACCATTTCATCGCTTTGTTTTCGTTGTCATTTCGTGTTGGGAGAAATAAAAAAAACACACACAAACGTTTGGCTGCGCAGGGCTTCCTTGAACCGACAAAGATTTTGGTGAGACAACATAAAATTGGATTCGTTCGATAAAACAAAGATCGTATCTCGCGCACTTGCAGTACGTATTGTATACGCCTAGAGATAATACGAAAAAAGTAGTAAAACGCTGCCGTTTGAAATGCGGCAGTGCCAAGAGAAAGAAAGAGCTCAATTGAGCAGATAAAATAAAGTTTGCACATTCGTTTTCTGCTTGGAAGGAAAAAAGGCTCTCATCCTCATATTACCTGAACATTATCTCCAAATGAGAACTGCATTGCCCTAGGATCCTATTAGCTTGAAACAAATTCTGCGGAATAATCTGCGAGCCCCTGCTGTTTTGATGTTCCACTGAAATTTTCTTTTTTAGTGTTATGAACAGACACCCTCTCCAGCGTCGTTAGTGACTGCCGCCGCTGCCGCTGCTGCTGCTGCTCCCGCGTAATGCTGCCACCAACACACGTACAGCTGTGCCGACAGGAAACGCAATCGTTTTTATTATGATGACTATGATGTGGGTTTTGTTAATCGCTAAGGCTGATTATCGCTCTCGCCGCCATCTTTTTCCTGCTCCTCCTCAAAAAAATGCATTCTATCTCACGTGCATTATCTCTCTTGGCGGAGACAAAACATTGTTTTATTTAGAGTTACACAATGTGGTTTAAATGTCAGCCACTAAATCCCAGAGGATGTGAACTTCTATTATTCGACGATAAAGGGCTTATTCCGCGATATGCCAACGTTCGTGCCAAAGCGTCACGAACATTCTTTTTTACTTCTGCCCAATAATGTACTTTTTTTGCGTGGTATCTCTGAGTGTTCCGCACAGCAATTGACATTTACGCCAGAGTCCTAGGGACACCATGTTCAAATGTCAATTTTGATGCAGGTTCTTGCCGTGTTCTTTTTTTCCTCTCCAGGTCAAGGACAACAACGCGCTCACGACCCAGGTGACGTGATGCGCCACGTCCATTCCCTTTGATATGAGCACTTGATCCATCCGACACGAGCCACCGCTTACGATTTACATTTCGTCGACACGTCACAGGTCGTCCATCGTGCTCGGTCACAGAGCCCATCGATAAAACATCACCCGGTTGGCCGATCTTTTCCCTCGGCAAACTCAAGACGGGCGGGGAAGAAGGTGGGTTGGTGGGGGCGGAGTGGCTGACATGTGGGCGGGCTGGGAGGCCCCTCAAATTAGCCGGGGGGTGGAGGTCTCACGCGGTCCACGAGCAGCACGTCCTGTTGGCACTGGGCCCGTGGCTCCCAGACGTGAGGGCGGTGTAAATGGGGTTGGGAAGGAATGGGTTCCACATTCTTTTGAAGTCTGCCTCCCGTCTATTGAGGGAGGCTGTAGCTGATACGCACCTCCGATTTCCCGCGCCTTCGATTAGCGCGATTGGTGCAAAATAAGTTCAAGATACGTACAAGCATGCATACGTTACAGGGCCGTTGTTCCTTTGCAATAAGAATGAGGGTTTGTGGGACTTCCACGTGCTCAGCATAATAAGGATTTCCATGTTATGTTTCTGTTGTCTCCTTGAGCACCGTGGAACGGTTTCCACCGCTTGCCGGCTACATCACCGAAGGGCTTTCCAAGTAGGGTGGTGGGGGGACATTCACCTCCCCCCACTTGTCGCGGGGCAGAGGAGTTCTGCTGTGACTATCGCCGACGCAACTGCCGAGTTGCAGCACCATAGTGTGCGCCCACTCTTACCTGGCGACGGCTGCGCTGAGTCTTTACGTGTGCATTTAAAAGTACCGTCGTTAGCACGATCGGCATTTACATCGCCCGGTTGAAGGGAGGACTCAAAAAGAGCACGATATGCTGTGGGTGTCTCTTAGCCACATCCAAACATGTTGGGCGCTATCTCTTAGCCACGTCTCAGTTTGTTGGGCGGTCGGTTTGACTCCACCTCAACTCAGAGCCACTGCTTTGCAAGTAACTTGCTGCCATTGCCAGCGCAGCAGGTGATGTAGGAGGCGGTGTTGTTATTGGGTCAACGTTCGTGCCATGGCTTCGTGACCATGGCGGCCCCTTGCAGCGGAGCCAGGTCCGGGTGTCGGGAGTTCCGCGGGGAACGGGCGTCAGCGGTGTGCGCACGAGCGTCTTTAGAAAGAGCAAACAACGCGGTCGACCTTCGCAGAATCAAATCCAAATTAAATGTCACGCGCCGCTCGGCCAAAATCCGCAAAATATTGTTTCTCGCCTAATCAAATAAAAAAATAAAAACGTCCAGCCCTTTGTCAATCCACCGCTGAGCGGAGGGCTCTCTGCAGACGGCATCTGTCATGGGGGTTGTTTGATCATACTTCACCCGGCTCGTGAATGAAACGGCTGGCGGGTACCAGGATGGCTTCAGATATCCCTCGCCACTCATGTCAGCCGTGGTCGGTGGGCTCATAACACAGCGTGTTATCCAATGTACCAAGTCACCACGACCACAACACGCGGGTTTTCGTGGCCATTCAAAATGCCAGGATGATCTCTCATTCGCAGTAGTACGACTCTGCGGCCATCTGGAACGCTCTTCCCTCCGATATCAGGAAGCCACTGGAGCTATGCACTTTGAAATCTAGTTTGAAAACTCATCTCTTTAGAACTTATTTTTGTGTTTTGTTTGTTGTCCTTCCCCGGGTTGGCTATATACGGCGCGAGAGAAGTTCAACATGCATACAACCGTCTCTGTTTTTACTCCAGAGTTGAGGTCCCTCCACCTTGCTCAACGTCTCTCCTCTCATCCTCCACGAGCACAGAAGCTCACTCCCTGGGCACCATCACCGGAAGGCGTGCTCGGCTCACTCAGGCCACGCTCATACTGGCCTTCAGGTAACTTAGTGCCGCTTCATCATCATCACCCCGATCATGATGATGATCACCGTGGTGATGATGATCGTCATCATCATAAGCAAGGCAACTCATGTGGGAACATGCGATGGGTCCAAATCAGTAATGACGACCGCCCACGGATGGTCATTCGGCCGCCAAAACACACGGCCCACGGCAAACACCTCCGCCTGCAGGATTAACTCGAGGTCTGCGCTGCCCCTTTTCTGCCGACGGCACGACGGACAGTTCTGAAAAGGACCCCGCTCACAAAATTTCGAGCGGCCGAGCACGTGAGCTGCCGTGGCGGGGAAGCCGCGAGCACAGATCGCACAAAGGGAGGCATTTAGCGTCATAAATTAAAGATCTCAGAAGAGGATAAGCATTACTTATTTAACACAGGTTGTGCCACGTAAGCTTTTAGGTTTGACAAACGGGAAATCTTAGGGTCCATTTGTTGCCGCGCCACTTAGCGGAGATAATCAACCACGGGGATTAGGCCCAGGTGCGCCCGGTCACGGTGGCCTTATCCAGGTCACACGTAGTCAACGCCAGGGCCATTTTGAAATTATTCCGGGCAACCATTTTATTTTCATGCAGACACATCACCAACGACTTAACATTTCTAACATTGAATGGGGCTGCCCTGGAATTGCGAGCTCACTTCACTGCGTGCAGAAGGGCCTTCCACACCTGGGGGGTATCCAGAGTAGCCCTTCTCGAGAGCGTTTCGGCCGACTCTTTCTCACTAGCCAGACGTCTCAGAAGAACCAGTTTTTTTCAGATAAGCCCCTCCCCCCTTAACTTGCATTTAAGGGTTGGTCTTTTGGAATTTTCCTCACTTGATGCAGTAATTTTAGCTGTGACGGTCCCCACCTGATGACGGAGACTTGTGTTGCCTCCGAAACGTCGTGATTTATTATTTTATTTCCATTATTACTTTTTTTTACTTTTAATTATATTTTTTACCTACGTGACTTTACCGAAAAAACCTAAGAGTATGAATCCTTGCAGTCACGAAAGCTTCAAATCTAGAATTCATTTTTATTGGTTTGTAGCTCAGAGGTGGCAACCCTACTGATGCCCCTTCTGCCCCGTGCCTCTCACCCACCTCTCCCACGAGCCAGGCCCACGAACGCAAAGAGCCCTCCCCTCCCCTCCCCAGCCCCCCCCCCGCCCATCCACCCCGGAAAATAACGACCACCGCAAGAGCACCGCCTTGCCGTGACCCCTCGGCAAAGGAGCCGAGCCAGAAGGGAGAAATGTTCCCTCTGTGGCTCGTCTCGCCGTGCCGAACGCGTGTCTTGGAGGCATCGTTAGAGAAGTGTATTTCTGTCTCATGCGTACGTTGTATAATTTTCCGCCTCCCCTTCATCGTTAAAGGTTTGTGCTCCGTTGACAGCCTTTGAATTACGATAGCCAGGCAAGCCGGGAAAAGGATCCATAAAATAAATATATAGACGTGTGTTAAAAGTTGCACTGAAAATGCGCTTTTGTGCACAAATGCTCAATTATCTCCAACTGTGAGTGAAGTCCTTTGAAAGGGGAAGTTGGGAGCCTGCTCACCTGAATACATCTTGAACCATGGAATCCACTACGGAATGGGAGGGATTAAAGAAATGAGACGAATTAGCCAAGCGACACAGGAGGATTAAGCAAAACCCAACATCACGCAAACAGCAATCAGAGCTTGCGAGAACGACACTCCGCCGTACGAACGTCACGCGGCCGCTCGCTTCAACGATTTAAACGCGTTTGGAAAAGACGAGTGTCATCAATGGCTTTACATTTTAACGAAGTGAAAAATAAAACATGCCGACCGCACGCCCTCCCCCCCCCCGCCCCCCCCGCCCCCCCCCCCCGCCCCACCGCCTCCGTAATTTATAACGGGCGCCAGCGCGCAGTGGGCGCCACGGACTCACGTTTCATCCCTTTCGAGCAAGTGTGCAGCCTGTTCTCGTCCGCTTCCAAATCCATCTGCAAGCGCGCCAGACACGAGAGCACAAGAACAGCGGCGGCGTTTCAAACAAAACCACAACCGGCGCTCGCCCTGGATCCCCTTTGCATTCGTGTGCGTACGTCGCGCGTAGCCAAGCGTGATTCATTCGGAGGCGCGGGGGAAGGACAGCGACAAACTAAACGCAGAGAGAGGTTCTCAAAGAAACGTTCTCACGCTATTGCTGGTGGGGGGGCCCTGACTAGAGGAAGCTTTCGAGGTGGTGGAGAGGGCATTTGGCCGACTCTTCCACGCTGGTCTTGGAAGAGGTGAGAGTTCCCAGCCCAGGTGAATGTGCCAATCGAGGTGCGTGCATGTTCCCCGCTTGATCGGACAGAGGAGGGGATTTAAGAAATGTAAATTCGGTGTTTCAAGGGTGCCGCACCAGGAGATCAAGCTGCGATATCTGGAGTGCAAGTCCGGTGAATACCACCCATCATATCATGACGATATCCCTCTCAATGGAATGAGATTTATCTATATACTGCCTTTTGTCAGTCGACTGCAGGATGGGTCGTGGGCGTTATTTGGCCATACTTTACCACTCTGGTCAGTGCGGGTTGATGAAGGTGGGAAGCATGAATGCCATATAAATGAACCCTCTCATTATCATGCTCACTCTCCTCCTCATCACCGCATTGTTGTTCAAGAGCCTTGCTGCTACAGCAAGGCTCCGCTAAAGTAGTTCTCAACTTTTTCCTGTACGGCGGGCCCCCTCCAATCAAGACCATTGCCCTCCGTACCCCCCACAGCCCAAGGGGACTAAGGCCACAATACAGAGACAGAGAGAAAGAGACCACGTGCCCACACCCTGATTGAACATGATGTTAGTAAGCCGTGTGTTTATAAAGCATGTGTTTCATGTCACGCATTCGTGTGTGTTTTTTGTTGCCGTTAGCGCGGTGCTGACTTCCTGCGTGGACATTTATCCTGCACGGTATCCATGCCGCAGCCCGTGCCCACCCCTCAAGGTCTTGCGCACTCCACCCAGCCCCACCCACCCAATGGGCTGAGAACCCCGGCTCCGCCGTTCGATGGCAGCAGAGAGAAAACCCGTAGTGACTAAAAATAACTCTGTGGCCAATCAGATAGAAACTCTAACTGTACCCCTAATCCAACACCAATATTCCCCATATCAATACCAGGTCACCGCATCAACACACCTACTGCCGCATCCAATCGTCATCGTCATCATCATTAGGGTCGCCACATTTGCATGTAACAAAATACGGAAACAAACGACACGCGCAATAAATGTGTTATGCTTTACGTATCCTGACAAGTTGGTGTTTGGGGCAAATATGTTAATTCACGCAAAGCTATTAAAAGACTTCAAATAAGTCAAAGTAGCGCCGAAAAGACCCATCTGAACTGTGTTCTTTACGCGTGACAATCTGGGTTGAAACGTGGTTGATAATGGGGGTGAGCGTTTGCCCTTGTCGCAGAGGCTCGCGGTTCAGGCCAAGGGAGGGGTGCCAGCGAGCGAGTGAGTGAGCGAGCGAGCGACGGTGGCGGCACCACGCACCCTGTGCTGGTTCAGGCCAAGGGAGGGGTGCCAGCCAGCCAGCGAGTGAACGAGTGAGTGAGTGAGCGAGCGAGCGAGCGACGGTGGCGGCACCACGCACCCTGTGCTGGTTCAGGCCAAGGGAGGGGTGCCAGCCAGCGACCGAGTGAGTGAGTGAGCGAGCGAGCGAGCGACGGTGGCGGCACCACCACGCACCCTGTGCTGGGCAGGGAGTGGAGGCCGAGCGGCGGGGAGGGACGGGCCGGCGCTGGCCTCCAGGCGGCAGGCGGCGGGGACTCTCTCCCGGCAGCTGCGCGCCCAGGGGCCCGGCCTCAGCAGCTCGCCGGCGAAGGCATTCTCTGCACCGCGGCAAACACAATGCGCGCACGCACACACACACGGACACACAAGCAGACAAATAAACACCCCGCTCCATATGGAGCCGTCCACTGTAGAGGTTGTATTTATCTCCTCCCGCCGGAGTGTAACGGTCAGCACACTGGAACCATTAAAGTAAACCATTGTTTTGTTTACCAGGCAAGGCCCACTTAAGCTACGTCGCTCTTTCTTTCCAAAGCGACCTGGCCACAAATGATTTCTCAACGAAGTGGCTTATCGCGTGGAAATTTATAGCAGCCAAATACTCCAAACGCGACGTTGATTCTCAATGTGGAGGAAAAAACTGGAGGACCTGGAGGAAAATCCACGCGACCACGGGGAGAGAGAGAACACGCAAACTCTAAATATACAGCAGCAGGCGTCAGGGTCTGGATCGAACCCACGACCTCCTGTAAACCAGGCGAGGTAGTTAACATATCACCACCGCGTCAACACCCTGAATGTAGCCCCGTGTCGGTCAGATGGTGGAAGCTATGCGAAGGTGAGACGTGCAGCTACAGGCTGCTGCGTGGCACCCCTGATTCGGCTTGATCAATCCACCGCGAGATGAAGGCCTGGCTCTATCCACATAACCACTGCTCTACACAGAACATGCAGACAAGTGACTCGATAGACTGTGAGGGATGATGACGATGATGATGCCACTGAGGCGGTATCATGGTTGTCACATCAAAACCTGCATCCCAGAGGTCTTCGGTTCAATGTCCCACACCATCACACCATGGCAGTTGAAACAATGGGGGGCGAGTTTCTTAAATCCCCCCACCTCCCTCGCCAAGCCGCCACTTGTGTCCACCCGAAAGTGTAAATCGGTGCACCGCAGATTGACGGTGCCCGTGCAGTGGGGTTAAGCGTGGATACTCCCACCGCTTTCAAGACGTCTTTTCTTTTGTTCCTGTCGAGGTTGCTGAGCACGGGCCCAAAGCCACAAGTGGCCAGCAACAATCAAGACTCTTGAAGTTGTAAAACATAATCCTTCATACGTCTTTTGATCTCAGAAAGGTAATCATAACATGACCGGCATGGAATAGTAGGCCAAATGCCCTCTACAGGGGATCTACAGAGCTCCATCTATGGGAAACCCTTCTGTCAGCATTGACACCGACAGGGCTGCCCCCTTTAACTATTAACTTTCACTGCACCAGGCTCAGACTAATCACCGAGTAAGCAAATGCCAGAGTTTGAATGTCATATCGTCGGCCAAACTTACATCTCAACATCAATCAGTCGGCAATTGATTAAAGTGCAAGGTGGTACGTTCCGGTCTCCAGGACTGGAATGTACCCAGCCTCCCAGTCCAAACTTGGCCGGCAGCACGCGGAGCCAACTTTGTCTTTTTATTGCCACAATTCACCAGGTATTCGTTTGAGGTTGAGTCAACCTTGGGGAGGACAAAGCGAGGCTACATTCAGATGCCACTTGCCAATGATATTGTACTTGGCCAAGATTGAAACTTGAGTCCATTTGGATCGTAAGATGTCTAGGCAGTGTAGAAGAGTAGGCCAAATACTCCAAATACCCCTCTAGCGGAGACCATTCCACCAACAGCGTGGCCAAAAGCAAGCGCGCCCGCATCTGCCCGCACGCTGCACTTCCAGTCACTCGCACGCGCGCCGGAACCCTTGGGTAGAGATCTGCCGCACACCAACTCATTACATCCTCGCACATACCTCGGTGCCCAAGCCAAACAGAGCAAGCGTTTAATGGTTGTACTTTAGGAGTACACACGCACTCTCGCTTTAGCCACGTAAACTGTTGGGGGCAGGTGCTGTTAGCGAGCCCCTATTAAGGCTGGAATTACAGGTGAGGGGTGGTAAAGCTAACAGCGTGCTGATGTTCACACAGTACAGCAGGCACTCATTCATTTAAAGATGAGTTTGGATACCAAACTAAAACTGAACTCTTTTCATTTTACCAGGTAAGGCCCACTGAGCTATGTAGCTATTTTTCAGACGTGACCTGGCCACAAATGAAAGCTCAACGCAGAGGATTATCATCATGTGAAAATTTATAGCAGACAATCAAACCGAGGTCACCGGGTTCTTTGTGTTGTGTGCTAACCACTGTACTGCCACTGCTCCCCCACATCAGAGAGAGAGTAGCCTTAACAGACTGTTGAGGCAAGAGCTGTTATCGAGCACCTATGAAAGCCGGCATGGCACACAAAGGGGTGGTTGGCCAGCACCACACCCGACCGCCTTCGTCTCCCCAGTGCTGATGTTTACACCCTTCACCGGGTACTCTTTTAAGGCTCAACTAACCTAGGTGAGGCCCAGTTCAAATATTCGCCACTGCTTTTGGTTGTAAGCGGGAATAGAACTGGGGTCGCTGGGTTTGTAGTCCACTGTATTAACCACGACACGACATCTGCCACTCCCCACCCCACACACAGCAACACCAACAAAGTACATACAGAATTTTTTTTTTAATCCTAATTAAAACCTTCAACTTAAAAGAACATTTATTTTAAACGTGTGTTTCAGATGTTTATTTTCACATTCACTCACACTGGCCCCTGTGCGTGGATGGAGAATGTGAATTTATATTATTTTAATCTACGTTGCTGAGCAGATAATGTGGTTATCTTGACCTAGTAACTCAATTACGTGGCGTTATGAAGTCGAAATGGAGTGTTCTTTCAAATAATCCACGTTATTATGAAAGAAAAAATTAAATTAACCATTTTTTTTTTCAGTGTTAAAACTGTCAAAACTGCCTGGGAACAGATGTGCTATGTATTATTACACCACGGCCCTGCAAAGGGTGTTCCCAAATGTCGTCGTATCGTTCTTAACACGGCTACCGTGTTCAGCTGAAATTACAAAAGTGACACGTTGACTCTGAAACGGACAAGTGAGCAACGGCATAATATACAACGGATGTCAATTTATTTTTTTGTAAGTATATGCGCCACACACACATTCGTTACATAATTCATGAAACTATAACACTGCAGATAGTGCACTTCAAAAATCTACCGACCAGTTTCTCTCTTTCCGTTAACGTGTAAGGTAATGTACCGGCAACGTTTGACGCCGGGCTTGTAAGCCCAGTCTATAGGCGTGAGCGGCGTATGAAGTGTGAGTGCATTAGTTCTTTGTCTAACTCGATGCCCGCAGCCACCCCAACACCCGAACAAAGAAACCGTGACACTTTACATTCTCGCAGCAAAGAGGAGCAAGGGAGGTCAAAATTAAAGCGATGGAGGCTCGAGCAGATGTAGACACAGGACCTTAAACCAAATTACTCAGACTATTGAGACTATGCAGATGTGCCATCTGCCAAATGTTTAGCTGACTTTGGCTTTCTGGCCCAAAAAAAAAATCGACGTTTAAATCTCAAGCAGATATGAGAATATGAACCATAGACGTGAATGGGATTGAATAATGGGAACCGTCGCTACGAGGGCTTGCCCCGTCGGCTGAGTGCGGGGAGCTGTCCTTGGTACTGAATGTGCCCGAACGAAACTGGATGTGTTTGCGGATTAGACACTTGCCACGCGTTAAGTATTGCAGCGTCACTGCCTATTCTTTATGAAAAATAATCGAGCAGAATGTAGCGACGAAAAATCCAACGGCGCGTCTTCATTTCTGCCGCTAAACAATTCATCTAAACAATCGCCGATTAAACCGCACAAAAGAGCTGGTGGCAAACATCTTTTGTTAAGATAGATTTTCACTTCTGTTTTTTTTTAGCTACTCTGAAAGTTGTGTAACACATCGAATTTAAACAGGTAGGAGGATAAACACACATTCGCAAACTCACAATTTTAGAGACCACTCGCAAAAGACTCACAAAAACAGGAAAATTAGCACACAAAAAAAATCACCTTCCAAAACAGCAAAGCCCAATAATTCATAATAAAGCACAAGCAGAGAAGAGGCCTAAAGCCAACATGAGTGTCCATGCCACGGCGGTGGAAACTGCGCAACTTGGCTTTGTCGGGTACGGAGGCCACGACGCCGATGCTACTCCTCGGCCCAGAGTTACGAGCTCGGCAAAACCATGCAGGAAAAACAAGCGATGGAGGATAGCCCCCCCCCCCCAAGCAGCCCCGGCTCCTCTGGCCGGTTCCGTTATGTTCCCCACAAAACGAACACCGCTTGGTGAATTATGAATCTCCGGCAGATGGGTGCGTGGAGTTTAGAGGCGGTGGAGTGGCGCTGTCATTAATAATTAATGCCGTAAATGGTGCTCACCCCCCCCCCCCCTTCTCGTAGGCCTGGCTACTACCAGCGTACAACATGGACGACGCAGCTATTACTGCACTCGAGTGGCAGTCCACAAACATGGGGCTCCATTCCAATGACAATATGGCTGCGCGCAACGCTCAACTTCAACAGAGCCAAAAGATCCGCGCGCCTCCCGCGCCGGCGAGCGCGCAACGGGGACGAATCCCACGGAGATTTCACAAAACACACGACGTCCCCAAACAAAATGTTCCTCCCAAATCTTTGTTCCAGGACAGGCACGTAGGCTCTGGCAGCCGATTCCACCCCGCGTTATTAAAACCTCGCACAGGCATATGGGGCTTCTCTGCCAGCTGAGAGAGAGAAGAAAGGGAGATAGCGGCAGCAGCAGCAGCAGGGCTGCCCCTACCTTGTGCAAGCCTCCAGGCTCAGCTCCGCTGATGTCGTTCACTGTTAAAACAATACAAGAACGCGGGTGTCTGCAGGAGGCTCCCGGCAGCCACGTATCGTCGTCACATACGCCCCGAAAGATAATAGCACGTACGGCTAACGCTCCGAGCGCAGCCCGTCATGCGGCTCGTGGCCAATCAGGGGCGGTTGGCCTTCCCCTCCGCCAGCTGATGCCTCTCCCTCATGCACTGAAATTACCCATGGGCCCCTGCGCCGTGACGCCAGCCGTCAGCCCACCCCTTCCCCGTGCACTCGGCACCCCCCCCCCCACAAACCTCCCTGCATGCCTGGCCCAAGGCTCAGGTGCTGAATTAGCATTT